CTCCAGGGAGACTCTGGGGCTGGGCACTGCAGGGGGCTGGGAGCTCCCGGACACTCTGACCTTGGGCACTCCACGGAGACTCTGGGTTTGGGGAATTTCAGCGAGACTAGCACTGGGACACTCTCGGGTTGGGCACTCCAGGGAGACTCTGGGGTTGGGCACTCCGGAAACACTCTGGCGTTGGGCAATTGAGGCAGGGAGACTGTAGGTTTGGGCCACTTTGGGGTTGGGCACTCCAGGGCTGAGCGAGGAGTAGACCGTCTTAGACCGGGCGAGGAGAAGAGTTCCGGGCGGGGAGAAGAGTTGAGTTCAAAATCTAACAGCCCCACACTGAGGGTGGGGAAAAAGGTATAGCAATATTCGATATCATGAAAATAACTAATCGTAAACAACGCAGTATGATAGACCTACGACGTCGTCCCTTATTGACACAAAATTGCATTCGTATGACGGGACATGTTTGATTGTCTGCGCTCAAAGCAGCTTCTTCCTCCACACGTCCTTTCGGGGGGATGCAGAAAGGTTCGCACCCACAGCCTCAGAGATGGAAGCTCAGTCGTTGGACACATCGCGTCCTGGGACCTCCCGCAGTCGCTGCAGGCTGTCCAGGCTGAAGAAATGCGCGGCATAGTGCAGCAGCGCAGGAGCACCCAGTGGTCGCACAGCGGTGAGCACGACGGGGACGCGGTAAGGGCCTTCCGTTGAGTAAATGTTTGTTACAGCACATCCCAACTGCAGCAACATGCCCAACACAGCCTCTGCACTTGTCTCCTCTCGACGGGCAGGCCAGCTGGTCCTTCAAGAGCTCAAGCATTAGGTCGGGCAGCTGTGCTGGACCACTGGACAGTTCCTGACCCTTTTCGGCTAAAGGCTTGGCAGCAATTTTTTCATTGTACTCACGGAAGTTGTCAGGTCTTTGCTTGAAGCGAGGGCTAGTCACAAGTCTGAGCACAGGTGCAAGCACCTTGTGCTGTCCGACAAGGACTGCAGGGTCTACAGCAGTCTGACCTCCTTCAGTTCCAACGACATGCACTTGCAATGCACAGCAACAAGAAGTCTGGTCAACGCTGGGAATCTGTACAGTCTGTACAGGGCTTTGGCACGGCCCTCCATCCCAGAGTTGACGCATCAAAGGTGCTGATAGCGCCGTGCATGCTTCAAACATTAAAATAGAGCACGTGCGCGACAAGATGTGCCCGACAGCCATCGCCAGCTGTTTGGTGCGACCACTTTGACATCTGCGAGACGTGCTTTTCAACAAAGCGAGATGCGCGGCTGTGGGGCCTTTGTTGTTGAATTTGCCTTCCGTTGGCTTGTTGCCAGTGCCTGCGCTTTGCACGTGGCCCAAAGACTTCCCAAGGGTTGGTAGGGCCCTTTCTGGAACGGGAGGCAAATGCATGGGACGTGCTGGGGTCTGCCAATTCCAAACTCCGAGCTCTCTCACACTCATCTCACAAATCGGTAGAAGTATGTTGTCTTGTCGTGCGTGTCAGACAAGGCCAGCTCCTGTGTTCCGATCACAGGCCTGCCTACCTAGTTGAGAGGTGCCTCTTCACAGTCTCCGTACTGTCTGAAATTCAGCATGCTCGGTTTTTATAAAACTCTTCTCCCAAACCTGACTGTGGCAGAACGCATCTTTGCTCAGGAAGGCTGCCTTTCCGGACCTCTGTAAGCACGCGCGCGCTGCCGGCTCCAGCTGCGCAGGGGCGCATTCCTGCATTGAATGGTTCCGAACACCACTCGGAATCTTGTTTGTGTCTTGACATCATGGAATCGCCTTGAAGAAGTGGCTGGCTCCCTGGAGAAGGGACCGCAGTCCTGCCAAAGCTGCTAAGCCTCGGAGAAAGGTCAGGATTCTATCGGTCGGGTAAGACGGTGTTCAGTGTTCAGCAACAAAGGCATGATTTGTTGCCCAGTCTCTTCTGACTCTAACCACCAGCAGCACTACTGTGCCAGGTGCTGCGACCGCTTTCAATGCAGATAGCAATGCCGAGGTGTCCTCGCCTGAAGCACCAATCTAGGCCATTACTCACTGTCAGCATCTACGGAATTTTGCTTCTTGCGTTCAGGTCTCTGTACACTACGTCCGTGGCCAGCACAGTGGAAGCTTCACAGCACTCCTTCGGCAGTGGCTCATGCCACTCCCAACGACGAGTGACAATTTCCAGGCCTGTGTCCTGCACAGCTTTCAGCGAGGCGCATGCTTTGGTGAACTGTTTAGGGTTTAGGGTTTAGGGATAACGAGCTCCTTTGCAGACCGCTGTGCAATTTGCAAGGCGCGCTCGCTTCGATCTGTCAGCACCACCTGCCCACGGCTCCCACGTGCAGCTCGAAAAGCAAAGGACCAATGGGATAGCATACCAATCTATCCATCTGTTCGTATCAACCTTCGATACGTAGATCCCTTTTCCGTTTAGATATTTAATATACGTATGCTACTCCCTCCCACGTGCCTGCGTTTTTGGGTTTTGAGGACTGGTTGTGAACCAAGGACTGTGTCACGTGCATATGTGATTGGCATGTAGTCTCATTCTGGGTTAACAAGAAAATCCAGATGTCTGAGGCTTAGGTTTCCAGATTCCACATTCTAGAAACGCAGGTTCTCACAGGTTCTTCCAGATTGATGCATGGGCTCGTCTTACGCGGCTGGTCCTTCCTTATTAAAGACTTCATATAACAAACAATCATAGCTCTAGGATGCCCTTGGTATCTCCGTAGAAGTCAATGGTCAAAAATGAGAAATATTTTCTGACAAACAAGTAGAGACATGTTAGCGCTTACTCAAAGTTGAGAAGCCCTGTTGTTTGATAAATCTTCTTGTTCACAAGGAAATAGGGGCCTCGCTGTCAGTGCAGTTTTGCAGCGTCAATTTAGCCTCAATTTACAATCAGCACTGGAAACATCAACAACGGAGACGCCTCCAATAGCACCGTGGCCAGAGCTTCAAGATTGCACGGTGACCGTCACTGATGGTCTGGCTTGCGAGCAAACCAGCAGCCCAACAACCCAATCGCAAACAGCAAGGTGATGTACTGCAGCCCCCCCCCCCCCCCCCCCAAAAAAAAAAAAAAAAACAACAAAAACAATCGTCGTGCGCAAGGTTATACACCTCTAACAACAGGAGTACGGGGGGGGGGGGGGAGGGGGGGCCGTGCCATAACTTCTACCAGCGATTGACTTCTGGAAGCAAGGGTGACCGAAGCAATGGTGAAATCGATCTTTTCGGGGGTGGGGGAGCTGCGCGTGCCTTGAACTGTTGAAATACAAACCAGCAAAGAAAGTAACACAAGGTAATGTCCCCAAGTAAACACATCCCAAAGTGCAACTGTCCTGTATTGTCAGTAGAGATAACCATGCTTCTCAGCTGGTGGGAGGAACAAGATTTGGACCGTACAGTGCATTGTAGCACCTGGGCCCAAAATTGTCGAGGCCGCGCCAGCACAATTTTAACTTTCGACAAACTGGTTACACTTGAGAGCAAAATGCAAAAACAGACATGGAATTCCGAAAGGCGAGGTTTGGGAATCTTGGGGCGGCTCCTGACCGGAAGAGGAGGCCGGGTTCAAATGAACCCCGGAGTGTTCCCTTCTGGAAATCCAAATGGAAGGGGAAAGTTCACAAACACCAAGACACAATCTGGGCACGAATGCCTGGAGGCTCCGGAAGATTTGTTGGTTGTTTTGGAACAGCACAGCACTTTGGGGACTGTACAGCACTGTTGGGACAATACAGAGTTGTTGCAGACCCAGGCCCAACCGATGCTGACCATGCTAAGAACAGATGGTCTCCAACTGAAAAACCCGCAATACTTTCGTTAACAACGTTACGCCGCTGTTAGCGGCCGTGGACCATTTGCATGAGGAAAGGTGGTTTTAACCCACGCATGGCAGTGTTCGCACGCTGAAAGGTTTTTTGGAAGGCATGTTATTTGACTCTGTTGTTCAAACTTACCACGCCTGCCAGTGCTTTCAGCGTTTTCCAGTCGTCATGTCTGTGCTGCTTGCTTTTGTTGTGATTTTTGGGGCTTTTTTGGATTTTGTGTTTTCGGAGTGTGGAGGCACGTGTGATTGCTGTATGATCAAGGACCACGAAACCCGGAACCCTAAAAGTAAACCCTGCAATGTTTAGCGGACAGCGCGGCATCACTTTAAGACCGCCCAGCGCTGCAAAAACACATGCAGAATAGCTGTGTTCTAATGACAGCTAGGGTAGTTTTCGAAAGGCGAAACTATAATTAGGCAGGCATCCACTATCATCATAATCTTTTTGTATTCCAAGGTTTGTATGAAAAAACCACAGGCAGCTCTGTATCCAAAATGCTCTCGGCCTCCCCCTACTCAAACCTTAGGTCCAAGATCTGAAGTCCACATTTCACGAAGGCGATTGATCCAAGATCAAAAGTCTTGATTCTTTGATGGCCCAAGATCCAAGATCCGACAGCTTGGGACATTGGATCTTCGGTCCATGGCCCCAAAAATTTTTTGGATCCTTGGCTCTGATCTTGGATCTTGGATTTGGGATACTTGTGTTGGCGGCCTATCTCCTTTGATTGGCCTATTGCTATGTATGAACATACTTTGGATGCGTGTACATACATCCCATATCTATATAACCAAACAATAGCCAGTCATGATGCAGTATCATTCTGAGTTGTATGTTGACAATCAGCTCTTTTATGCCAGGCTCTACGCTTTGATACGGAACCCTGCGTGTATTTCTGTGCATGGCTCCACCGGCCTTGGCTCCCAGCGCCGCAGCTGCTAGGCCTGCGCAGCCTGTACCACAGCCCAGCTCCACGACCTGCAGAGGATTTTTGGAGCGACTCTGGGGAGTACACAGAGGTTCATGGGTTTAGATTTTGCAAGTACTTGCAAGGATCCAGATGCCGGCCTTGGAGCCTAAGAGGCTTGGCTCCTCGCAAAGCCGTCGTGCAAGCAAGGCGGCGCAGTCATACATGACCTGGCGTCAGCGATTGTAAGTTCAATTTCTGCAGCAGTCTGCTCCATCGAAGAAACTTGGTTTGCAGCTCCAGCAATGCCCACGGAAGCATCCTGGTGTAGCACCTCGCCATGCGGAGATTGCCATCTCTAGCGTATCTTCTGATGGATAGCGCCTCTGGCCCTCCCGAGGGTTGCACCAGCTGCATTTTCTTTCCAGACGTTGGGGTAAGGGTCAAGAGCAACCTGCACATGCAGCTTCAGCCCTTAAACGTCCTTAACATGCCTCAAGCAAAAACCTTCCTGCCCGGGAATGCGCATGTCCTGTGGACTACACCTTTGCTACCTTTCACGCATGGGCCTCTTAGCCTCAGCTCGCTCCAGGTCATCGAATGAGCGAGGCGCCAGCTCGACGCGCAAACCCATGGAAGCTCACAGCTCATAAGCACTCTGACCTTCTGAAAACAGCTGAGGAATGAGGATGGTGCCTCCCATGACGCACTCTCCCGCAAAACCTCCCCTTAACACAAGTGGACAGCTTTGGCCCGGCTCGCGATCTTGCTCAGATCCCTCTAGTCGGAACATCGCAAAGGGCAAGAGCTGACTGACCCCTTGTGTTTTTGGGGCATTTTGCAGTCCTGAGACGCAGAGACTGTGGGGCGATGACGATGACGAGCCGGCCAGAATCTTCAAAGATGCCTCAGTTTGCATCAAAGACAAGAATCTGTCGTCTAAATATCGTTGCCATTGTACAAGGCTTCACCAAATACCAGAAATGCTTTGCATCATCTCGTGCCGACAGCAGCACGTTGCTGCTGATAGCACCACGGATTTGGCTCAATCATGATCCAGCTTCTTTGTCAACCCAATTTGCTCAGCTCAGATACCCAGCGAGGAGGTCCAGGCACGACATGAACGACCATTGCCTCCACCTCGTGCTAGAAACATGCTGCCATCAAAACGTTGAAAACCCTGGTGCAAGAAGCTGCTGTTGGAAAGTATTCGCGAAATCCGACGCGCCTTCAGTGGGCCCGGCCTGGCACCCAAAGTGGTGCACGCAAAGGCCCTGGTTCTGCCTCTGGACAGGGGAGAGCTGCTTATGTTTCTGTGGATTTGTTTAGATTTCGATGCCGGTTCGTGCAACTGCGATGTCTTCCACCTTTTACTTTTTAGCTGCTTATTTCAAGTTTTCTTTCTATGTGCCCAATGTGCATAGCCCGCATGAATTTGACTAGGTTCTTCAGCATTACAACTTCGGTCCGCCTCCACAAGTCCTTGTACAAGTGTTCTTGTACTTCCCCAACCCTTTCTGAAACACCTCTTTGCCGGCCATTAAAAATTTAAGCTCGTGATAAAACCGTGCTGTGGAATTGCCGATGGGGATTCCGGACGTGGGATCTGCCTGGGATGACGGCTGAGTCGGTTACACGTGTTGGGAGCAAGTCGAGGGTGGGTTGGGAACAGGGGCAGGGCGCGTTGGGAACGGGAAAGTTGTGTGTCGGGGACGCACCGAGGGTGAGTCGAGAACGCAGCCCACGTGTTGACCGCGGCCGGGCGTCGAGTTGAGAACGTTTCCCACCCATAACTAGGTTTTGGAGTGACGATCCTACTGTTGATGCTTCTTTAAAGTTCTCTTGAGAAGACTTGGACTTGGGTATACAGTCTTCTTTTGAGTTTCCTTGGGGGAGTTTAAATGCTTTGTTGTTTTGGATAAACAAGAAACCCTTCAAACAATCGGACGACGCTGCTGCTCAGAACCAGAGCCAAACTCGGGAAGTTTCACGTCAACACGCTGAGCACTTTTTTCGGCTCCTCGGAAGATGATTCTCGAATGATGAACAAGAAACGAGGGGGGTGGAATTTATAGAGTAATTCTCTACTCCTCTCTGATTTCAAATAAAGAACACAAGAAAAAACTCAAGAAACGAGAGGGGTGGAATTTAGAGTAATTCTCTACGCCGCTCTGATTTTCAATTGATGAACACAAGAAGCAAAAAGAAGAAATTAGGGGGGTGGATTTTAGAGTAATTCTCTACTCCTCTCTGATTTTCGACTTATGAACACAAGAAACAAAAACAAGAAACGAGGGGGTGGAATGTAGATTCTTTTCGAACAAGAAAGGTCCTTGGAGGGCTGGCAACAACAAGCAGATGGGGGGAGGCTGCGCCGCCCCCCAACCCTTCCCCCCCCTTTTTGGGTACGTCAGAAAAGGATTTGTTGTTATGTAAATAATAAACTAGAAACGAGTGGGGTGGAAATTCAACTAGTTCTCCACTTCTCTACTTCTCTAATTTTCGAATATTCAACACAAGAAACAAAAAACAAGAACGAGGGAGTGGAATTTAGACTAATTCTCGACTTCGCTCTCCACTTTTCGAAGAACAAAGGTCCTTGGAGGGCTGGCAACAACAACAAGCAAAGGGGGAAGGGGGGGCTGTGCCCCCCCCCCCCCCCCCCCCCCCGCGTTTTGGGTACGTCAGAAAAGGACTTGTTGTTCTGTAGATTCTAAACTAGAATCGAGAGGGGTGGAACTTAAACTAATTCTCCAATCTCTCCTTCTCTAATTTGCAAACGAAACGAGTGGGTGGAATTTATTTAAGTCTCGAGTTCGGTGTTTTGGGTTTGTAGTCTAGTGGCTCCGAGTTTAGGGGTTTTGGAGTTTAGGGTTCCGTTTCAGGGTGTTGGATTCAGCGTTTTAAGTTTAGGAGGATTCCGAACAAACATTGACGATGACACAGGAATGGTCTGTGAATCATGGTTTTCCAGTGGTTGCAAGTCCAGGGCGTGGTTTTGGAGATTGTTCGAGCTCTTTGCTGTTCCTCAGAGCAGGCAGGTGTTCCCAACACGTGTGTCTGGGTGTGTTCCCGACACGTACCTGGCTTGTTCCCGACTCGCCCCCCGGCTATTCTCAACACTCACCACACCCATTCCCAACACGCGCGTTCCCAACACACCCAGCTGCAACCAACACGACTAACATTCGATCTGCCTGCTCTTTGCGCCGGAAATCATCTTTGCTCATGTACAGGACGATGTTCCGACCTGTGTTCCATCGCTCACAAAGCGCTGTTTCAGACGCATGGTATACAAAGTGCGCGTGGTTTGTCATAGTCCCATGCATGCAAACGAGAAGTCTGCGTGAGTAATATCCGAGTGCACAGCCCGCAAACGGTAACCGGGCAGTTCTCATCCGAGCATCCTGGATAAAATTTGAGGGGCGCGCAGCATTGGATGCTATTGAACATCATTGGAAGGCTCTCTCCTTCTCCCGAAGGAAGCGGAGAAGTCCAGAGTATCCTTAGGTGCGAGGGTAAACTCATCTTGCAACCATCATTCTGACTCAGCAGCTCTCTCTGACAAGCCGGCGTTTACTTTGGAATAAGGGAAGCTCCGTTCATCAAACGAATTATCCTGAACGCAAGGCTGCTCTTTATGGCATGCTTGCTCTGCATGCTCTATATGCTTACTGCACCGATTCCTAGCCAGGTGGCCAGAAACTCCACTGCCGTCGACGAGGCGACGATCGCTGAAGAGAGTTGGGAAAACGCAGCAGGGCACCACCTGAACCGAGTGGAGCAAGCAGTCAGTTCAGTTGGGTGGAAACAATGGTCAGTACCTCAAACACCACTGACTCTCTTTGTATAAAATCAGAAGAGGATGGACGCGGTTGGTTTGTTGCTGCTTATCATCATCCCTTTTGGTGACCACTTTTGCCTTCGACGAGGCTATGTGCCCTCAGTTTTGGGGGGTTCGCTGGCCATGACTGCTTTGGGGGTCTGGGGCCGCAAACAACTCTCTTCAAGGCCGCCAAACCTTTTGGATCGCTTCTTGGTGGGGTTTCGACGCTTCCGAGCTTCAAGGTTTTATGTGCTCAACGGTTCCGGTTTAGGGTTTGCTAGCCATCACGACAGTTCAGGCTTAGCGTATCGGCGCAAGAGGTGTCAGTGGAGGGGCTATACGGTACGACAGGGCAGGGTCAATGTAAGTCCAAAACAGCAGGGCAACGGGCATGAACAGCCTAGGTTGGGAGGCGGGCTTGGGCTTGCATCCCGGCTACTGCGAATGGACAGTGGGCCGTGAGCGCCAAGTCCACAACCGCGTCCGTGGCCTCACTGGCACGCAATTTGAAACGTGATTGTTTCGATTTCTTCAATCGATTCGGAGGACTGCTCCTCACAGTTCCCCCCCCCCCCCCATAATCACGCCACACGGCATTCCTGCAGTACGCTTGGTTGGGGTGGACTTGTTGGTCCCTGTGAAGGCTAATGCATTTCATTTCTATAGGATACGGGATTAGAGCCCAAAGACAAATCAATCCCGCCCGAGTCAAGCCCATAAAACAACGGAACGCATCCAAAATCATCCAAATTCCCGGGTCTAAAAGTGCCAAACCCTGCTTCGCCCTGGGGGCCCTTCCTCGTCTGGGTGCATTGCCACGACGGCACGCGCCGCGCTGACCAGGTCACGGGAGGAGTCCTAGGTTTGACAGATGGTGATTCTCGCATCTTCTCAAGATTCTTCTCACTCATGATGGCGCCGACAAGACCTGTGCGTGTTTCCAGTGCGTGAGAAGCGGACATCGAAGTGCGCCTTCACCCGATGCACTGCGCTCTCAGAGTGCGGATCGTCCTGAGATCGATATCAGCTTTTGTTTGCGTATAGGGTGCCTTGAGAGTAAGCACTCATGTGTTGCCCCCTCCACCTCTCCATCTGGACCACAGGCCGAATCATCAAACGAGGGTGGGCTCCTTAGTTGGAAGGCCCACAATACTTTTAGGGTGGACCGGCTTGCCAATGTTGCTTATGCTTTCCGGCCGTGGTCTAGATTCGGATGGCTGATGGCGGGGAGTGGAGGGGTGAATGGAGCTTCAGGTTTCTGCCCATAGTCCAGATCGAAGTCCGCACGGCAATGTCTGGTCCTAATACTAGTAGAAGGTCGATGCGTGTGAGCCTGGTTCTCTGGCAGGCACATGGGGAAGTACATGACGACTCGAAATGCCAAGTCTCTCAGAAGCTGGCCTGGGATCAACCACCACCACATCTTTCACGCCGCGAGATCGTAAAGCGAAAGCAAGGGCTCCTCGCTGTGCCACAGCTTGCTGCGTCTCGCATGTCACTTGCGAAGAATTGCCGAGTCGTCGCATGTGGCGCGGACTGAGTCCTTTCCCTCCGGCCACCTCCAGGACGTAGCCGGAGCTGCAACCCTGGCACGGCGCAAGCTCCTCGTGCAGTAACGGGACCTCTGGGAAAACGTAACGAACAGCCAAAGAGCTGCTTGCGGGGGAGCCGCTGACTCCAAGAGCTCCGCCACAATGAAACTAGCGAAGACGGCGTGTCTCTCATCCTACCACATACCACAGTGGTATTGCTTTGGTCACATGTCACCGCCCCAAGCCCATGAAAATGCTCTTGGGCAGAGGTGGGGCCTTGCAATGTAAGCCCTTGACATCGATCGTTCGTGACCTGGTGGTGAGGGCAAGCAGCTTCTCTGCCTCGGGTCAAACCGTAGGAAAAGCATACATGTAAAGAATGCGAAAACGTTTCATTACCTTGAGAAAGCCGCCAGTTTTGCAACTAAGCTTCTTGGAAGACTGGGGGTCCACTGACTCCTTCTTTGCCATCCCTCTCTTCCTTCAGCAGAGGCCAAAGCTGAGCCGTGGCTCTGCCAAGGCAGAAAGTTCGGAGGGTGCATGTGTTTTCTATTTTGCAATTCTAACTCTAACCATGCACAGACGGTGCTCCTGGCAAGCCACGCTGCATGTCAGTGAAAAGTCTTTACTACCCATGGCCAGCGCGCGGGTGCGCGGCAACTTCTCCGACAGCACCTACGGCGGCAAAGCACGAGTTCCTCATGTCACAGTTCTGGAAGCTCCAGCTAGACACGTTCTTACACGTTCATGCAAGATCAAGAATGATGGAAGGCCCGGAAGAATGAGAAAAAACAGTCCGCAAACCAACCACCTTCAGGTCTGCAGCCCGACAACGTTCTTCGGATTCTTGGAAGACGATCTGAACACGATGGCCTTGCAAAGGCCGCGAGCGCCACTGTGTCTTTACGACTCTGAACACTGTGTCCAGTCGAAAATCACACTCCGAGCGGGGCAAGCTTCGTCCTACAAGCAGCATATCTTCAGTTGCTTGCCTTCATTGGTCACGCCAGCCACAATGGCAAGCCTTCGTCCAAAGCTTCGATGCTGGTCGACACAGGCCAGCGTCAAGGGCTGCTTCATCAAGTTGCCATCCTGCGTGCGAGATGGTGCAAGGTCTCACGTGACCACACCAGGCACAAGGGTAAGAGGCACGTGGGTCAGAACAATCCTGAGATTCCGCCGAGTACACGAGCAACTCCAAGCCGGGGCCATGCATGGCTTTAACGTGTGAAAAACTCTAAACCTTTGTGTAACTGAATGCTCATCGTTATTTGCCAATGCACGGTGCAACCCCTTACACGATGCTTAGGCGTTGCTCCTCTTCACGTCCTGATAACAAGGCCCATATGACCCCCTCCAGCTATAGAAGCCCTGTCAAACCCGCAAATTGACGGTTTGAGCCGATGGCCAAATAGTCCAGCTCAGCACAAGTCACAAGTCACAAGACGAGAAACAAGACACTTTCTAAGCTTCTAAGCCCCATCCTACATGGAAGCGATCATCAGTTGCGCTGCCTTCAGCCCCGAAACCTTGTGCGAAAAGAAAGTTCTAAAAAAAGTCAAAAGGCGCGAAACCTTTTGCATTCAACGACATCTGGCTCGGCTAGCTCTTTAGTTTCCGAATTTCGCCTCGTATGGAAGTGAAGGCTGAGATGCCGCACTGAAGACGCTGTTCTTTCTCTCGCTCTTTTTGTGCCCGGGAAGGGCTTTTTGCGCCGCTTTCTCACAAGCTCTTCTGAATGTACCTAAAACTGTTATGAACTTGAGAAAACTTGGGAGATCATTGAAGGGACGCTTCCGAAAAGTCGTCTCCTCCCGTGCAGGACAATTCCAGCAAGAGATGCCGGATCTTCTCGGCATAGCGGATCAACCGACCGCATTAATCACACGGATCATGATACATTAACAATTCTGTACTAATTCTGAGGGCTTTCTTCAAATCCATATTATCCTAGTTTTCAATGTAGACATAATCTTGCTCAAATTTAAGTCAGCCGGGCTCTGCAAGCACGAGCCGATATCTAATGAGCTCAGATCTGTCTATTTCCGTCTGTGTCAAGATATCCCCCTCACCTCTCTCTCTGTCTCTCATGTCCTTCTCCACTCTCTAGCATCTCTCTCTCTCTCTCTCTCACTCACTCTCTCTCTCTCTCTCTCACTCGCTCTCACCTCCCCCTCTGTCTCTTTTTTTTCTCGGAGGGCGTGGGGGCCGGGCCGCCGGGCGTCATCGCCCGCCCTGTTTCCGGAGCGGTGTTCTGGTACAGTTGGAACCATTGGTGTGTCTCTGCAGGCCATTCCCTTTGCGGCTGTCAAACTCAATCAGGATGCCCTTTGCCTTCAGCGTCTCGTGTGGCTCGAGCGACTCCATCTGCAAGAGATCTTGCAGTGGCACTGTGTACATGGGAAAGCGCATGGGAGCCTCCTCGTCTGCCCCATGCAAGGATCGGGCAAAAAGCTCCAAAGGCGTCAGGGGTGTGCGCGGTCCGCATTGGCAGCTCGACATGCTTTGACAACTCGAGCAACAGTTTACGCAGCGCAACCCCGAGCCGAAAACGCTTGCAGGTTGGGAAATTGCATCCAGTAAAGCGATCTTACGTAAATGGCGTCTACAAGTCTACAGATATATACCTGTAACAGTGTTGAAGCCTTGTGTCCTCATTAAGCGGAATGCGAACGTTACTGCAATCGTTGGCGCTGCAGGTCTTCAGGAAGATCCTGCGACAAGCTTACTAGAGTTCCCAGCCCAATGGATCAAGGGGTGCACAAGTTGAGTGGTGCAGATCCAGCTTCTCTCGGCACGCAGGGCTCCAGACTTTTTGTACATCTTGTCTCGTCACGGAGAGCTCCACTGGCTGATCCGCCAAGATGTTGCGCTGCCTCCTGTGCTCTCGATTACTCCGGTCCAGCGGCCCCGCAAAGAAATGCAGAGGTTGGTCCTCCCGCGAAGTGACTCTGCTGTCTGAGCAAGCCGATCCAGGTTAGCTCGACGTTGGTCTCGCCGCTTTTGGGCCTGCCGGCACTAAAGTATGCAAGCAGCTGGCATCTCTGAAGGAATGCTTGACAAGATGCCTCCGCTGGCCAGCGCAACCCCAAAAGCACGCGATTCATCGGCGTGATGGCCTTGCAGCCAGAACTCTATTGCTGTTTACAAAGTTCCAGAGGCTTGCAAGGGCTCAGGGGTTCGGACGGCATCGATTTGCCGTAAACGGGCCTCAGCTTTTCTTTGTGCATCGCGGAGTGTTTGCACGGTACTCTCGAGTCGACCCTCACACACTTCCGTGTAAAATCATCATAAGATGCTGGCAATGTACCCCGGTGCTGCATCAATCGCGCCCAAGCGCAGAAGATCGTAAGTGACTCCGCGATCCACCCGAAGTTCCTCGAGCAAAGGCGGCAGTTTTCCGTGAGATCCGTGAGCTTTTGGGTGAAGTCTCGTGTTCTGGAGCTTGGATGAGCGTAAACTAACAACAATCAGTAACTCAGCCGCGGAGAAATGACAGACCGACCTGGCAAAGTCCAGCCTTGGCCAGCTTTCGAAGAGATTCTCCGCGTGCTCCCTGCGCATCTTGGAAGCACACAAATGGTTCCAGAATGTCCAGACACATTGACCGCGCCTTCTCACCGTGACAACACGGCACAATGGCAAAGCTGACATGTGCTTGCAAGCACTCTTGAATCAGCTCATCCGCAAGGACGCCACAGGTGTGACATGCTGTGACAGCAGCTTCTACGGCTTCCACCCCAGTTTCCGCCAAGAGCTGTCGCAGCCAGCCGGCACATCGCAGGTCCACATGGCGATGCTGGATCAAGGCGTCAGGGGCCCAGGCTGCTCGGAGATTCGAGAAACCTTTGGGCTGGTAAATATCTGCAACAATGGCCTGCTTAATGCGGCCGCTCGCAAGGAAGGCTAGAGCGATGCCTCCGTGACCACCTGCGGCATCCACCAACAGTGTTTTGTCTCCAAGCAGGCGCCTGGTACAACGGTGGAATGCCAAGCATTCCCTAATTTCTTTGATCGGCGGTCTTGGGGAAGCACATCTGTGCCAAGCTCGGAGCAATGTTCTCTCAAAGCGCCCTTGTTGCGTCTCCTTTCCTGCAGGTTCTGCCTGTCCTTCCATCAAAGCCCTCTGCTGACGCCGCTTCCATGTCCACTGCCAGCTGAATCTTGGTAGAGTACCGGGCCGAAGGTGCCGAAGGCCACAGCTCCCTTCGGGCCTGGTGAAGCAGCTACGCCCGCTCGGATAGCTCGGCCAAGTGCGCTCACATGGCATGAAGCCATGCATTGTGCAACTGATGATGCCCATGATGCGCATGTAGGCTCAAGCTTGGAACATGCCCCAGAAACGGAAGATGACGGAAGTCTCTCTCTTTAGGATTCTGCGAGCCATTGCATGCTTAGTAGGCCTAGCCAAGCCAAGACTTGCTGGGGTGCAAGTCTGTTGAGCGCCAAGAGAAAAGATCAATCACACGACTTTCAAACGTAGCATGACATGACTTGGCCTGAAGGATGGCAAGAACCCATTCAGACATATTCAGACTCACATGAATCAGCGCTTGTTTTTGACCATAGAGAAACTTTGCCGCGGAGCTCCACCCAGAGAAGCAATGGCCTCAGGCACAAGTTCTGTTTGCGGAAGTACACGCATCTGCACCCCAGCTTCAGTGCATGAGGCTCGCATGGCATTCAATGTGTGCAGGCAAAGGCAGGCTTTTGCGGCTCACCGCCCCCGACCATAATCTACCTGCTTCGCGACCTGCAACAGATTGGGTTTTTGTTCGCTCTCTGTTCAGACTTCAGCAACGAAGACCTCGCAGCGATGCAGATGCTCATCGAGGTAGTGTTGCAGGATGACGATGGCATGAGAGCCTGCAGCCGAAGCATCGGGCAGGGCACTTCGCATGGGATGTGCGAGCAGACGGGAGCACCTAACAGAGTGGTGCCACCCAGGGAAGCGCGCACAATGTCTGCTTGCATAGTGTGCGCCACCTGCGAGTTTGGAACCACTAGCGGGGTGATGTAGCTGCGATGCTCCATGCTCAACGCATGCCGCGCCAACTTCCAGTCAAATTGTTCACTTATGTCAAACATAAGTGCACCTCTTCGTAGGCCTGGACATCATCGGGCCCGAAGCCGCGGTGGTCACCCACTACAGCCACGATGCCCACCAAGTCCTTCCTGGCACCAACACGCAACGTGCAGAACAGCCCACGCTGTTCTACTTTTGTGGCCTGGCAATCTGTTTGAGCACTTCGGCTATTGGCTCTCCCTCTGCATCCAGCATGAGCATGACCTGTATCCGTGCGAGAGTTCTGATGCTTTTACATCCTACTCTGACGCCACTCTCTGCAGCTGACGTGATTCTCGCGTACTTGCTCACGTACTTCAGCCGAGTAGCCACACGAGCTTCGACTGGCTCTGTGGCCTTCTTCTTCAGTGCGGCCTCCCCAGGTTTGGACATGCCGATGTGTCGGAAATGATGAGAAGTGCCCAAAGAGAGCTTTCAGTCTAAAAGCGCGGGGGTCACGAAGCGCGGCCTTGAGGGCGGCCTTCGTGGTCCGCTCCTTCACCTCCAAGCCCCTCAAGTTTGAAGCGCACCAGGCCTTGCAGGGGGGGAGACGCGAGGGGGTAAGTTGATTTCAACTGGAATTAGGGACCTTCTAGGGATGGCTTTAGAGGGTTTTGATGAAAGCGCTGCCTCCGGGTCCTCCTCCGGGTCCGGCAAACCTCTCCCCGCAAAGTAAGACTCGAAGGCCTCGAAGACCCGTGATGCCAAGCGTGGTTCATCTGGCACGAGTCCTCTAGAAGAGGGGTCATGTTGCCTTACCATACTTTCTGAATCTTGCCAAGGCATTTGCGTGGGGCTGCAGTGACTTTCTTGACAGCTCCGTGCCTCGGGCCAAGGCGCCCGAAACTTCGAGGGTGTGGTTGCTGGCTTCAAAGGACAAGCAGACCTGTACGGTGCGGTTGTGTAAGAGCACGTAAGAGCTAAAGGGGGTGAAATAGGGCGTTTAAGCTGCATCCATATAGGTTCTACGTGGAGGTTTGCCTGCGTGTTGCGCCGCAGCCCTTGGCTCCGGAAAAGGGCCGCAGAGACGCAGCGGAGGCCCACGTCGGCACGGCCGCAGGCACGAGGGTTCTCGGCCTGAAACCTTGGCTCTTCGTAACGGGCTCCTGCTTCAGGCTGAGTTGAATCCTTCCTGTTGCCCTTCGAGCAGCGTTTCCGCGTTCGCCCGTTGGAGGGGCAGCAGGAAGCGCCGCCAGAAACAGGGCAGATGAGGCCTGCCATATTCACAGAGAAGATGACCGCAGAGAGGCAGAGGAAGAGAACTGTCAAACAGGACACGAAGAATTCTCTGCATGAAGGCTGTTGAAAAGACGTGGTTTTAAGCGGAGCTTGTGCGGCACATCGGCCTCGTGCCGTCACAAGGCAAGAAGCGCTCCGAGGGCTTGGCGCCGAAGGTGCAGCGCTTCGTCGTGTGGCCAACCTGTTGCACGGCTTTTGAGAGAGCTTCGAGTCCTGGAAGAAGAGCTTTCGAATTGGGCGCAAGGCCAAAAAGGGTCTTAGATGGTCTTAGTCTGACTGCAATTGGCTTAACATGTGACTGAGGACATGTTGGGACTGACCCTCACGCCTTGCCGCAGTGGTTGCACCCTTCCAAGTTTGCTTTCGGGCAGTCGCTGACCCTGGCGCAGGTGCATCCGGCACACTATGTGGCACACTATGAGAAGACGCCAATGCTGCAACATCCCAGCCTATGTCCTTTCTCTCCGCAGCGGCTGCATGGCCAGCGGAATTCTACAGAGTTCCTTTGCTCTGGCATCAGGCCGTCGACGTGGTGCATGCCCTCCTTCTCGATTCGTTGTCGCTTTCTGGGAGGTGTGGAGCTCGCTGCGGGCTCTGTCATACTGCACCAGGCTGGCCTGATGCAATGCTGTATCTTGCAGACTCCTGCCGTGCATAAGAACCGAAGATGTGCCGACGCGGTACAGTGCGCAAGCCATGCTCTCAAGATCTGCCAGGCGGGGCATTCGCCGCCTTGCAACACTGGCAAGCCCGCCGGAACCCAGCAAGGAAAATAACTGAAGTAAGTAAGCCAAGTGAACTATTCAAAATAACTAATAAGTAAGTACAGTAGTTAAACTAATTGAAGTAATCAAAAGGAAATAAGCCAGCAGAATGTAAATGCCGATATGCGAGCGCAAGGGGCTTCCGCAAAACGTGCAGCAAGGCGGAGCCTCGCGAAAGGAAAGCAATTCCCCTGGAACCCATGGGCCACGGCCGTCTTTTCTGGGATCACATAGGGATCAAACTGAGTAGAGGTTCGATGACTGCTCGATCAGTTCTGGCTTTACATACAAGAATGATGCTTGGATGTCTTTTGGCTGGCCGCAGTGTGTGAAGTCGATATCAAGCCTGTTATTACCTGCAATCAGGAAGCGAGATCTGGAGTTCGTCTGCAGCTCCTTCTCCGAAGGTCGGGTCTCGGCGCATGCTGGATTACGTGAGGCTGAGGATTCTTTCAAAATGCCATCGTACTCGCATTCCTACGTTGGCTTCAGAAATACATTCGTTGCGGCTGTTGATGACCTGAGGCCTGTTCAGCCGGCAGCTTTTGCAAACGAGACTCTTGGGAGAAGTGCCTGCTTGGATATGCGCAAAAGCAGTAGCTGAGCTTGTCTTGTGCAGGATATTTGTTTTGTACGTGGGGGGTTGGGGGTTTAGGGAGTATAGGCTTCAAGAGTTCAATGCTTTCGCACTTCGTTGGACTCCCCGCCTTGAGTGGGATCTTTTGGAAAGTCATGTCGCATGTATTGTTAAAATACGTATTGGTCCAGTTCCACCTGTTAATTAGCCAGCATGCCTACAGCAAGATGGGCCAGTGTCTACATGCGTGTGCAAAAACAACCACGGCAGGGACTGTCTTGCAAATTGGCCACAGATCGAGCGACCAAGGGCCACGCAACCTCATCCATTTCCATGGACCACCTTACCGGAAGTTGTTCTGCATCTGGCAAAGAGCCTCTGCAGTCGTGGATATTTTCAATATTCATGGGAGGCAATTGCAGAACGTCTGATGATGCGTATCGTACGTTCGCCAGTGGAAACTACGAGTATCGTGGAGAATGTATGCTGCGGGCCAGTGGCGGTACCATTTCAGAAGCGGCTCCTGCCAGGGGTCTTCCATAAGAAGGCTGTGGCTCTGCTGTGGGGAGCACGTGGGAGCACTGCTTCCTTGTCGCGAACAGCCTCGAGCGACCGAAAGATGTCCATGATCTGAGCTAGGCGGAGGATGGATGGCCCTATGGGTTCCGCGTAGGAATCTGATCGAGCTTGCGGGTGTGTTGTGTCCGGACCGTACACGAAAGTTTCGCAGGAGGATGGGCTGAATTTCCGAATCTCCGAGACCAGAGCAATCGCGCACTCTGAGTGCTTCCAGGAGATGAGACCGATGCGGCCGCCCTCGCCGAGCAGACCGAACCTTGAGAAAAGGAGTGGCATTTTGAGATGACACTTAGCCTTTGCTGAGGATGAGGATCTTAGCTGGGAACGCAGCAGAGATTCCTTTCCGCATCTCATCAAACCTGAGAGGCTGCGGACAGGGGCTCACCACGGCTCAGACAAACTGCGCACAGACATGCGCAACGCAGCGGAAGCTTGCAAATGTCTGCAAACGTCTGCAAGTCTCAGGCTCGCCGTTCAGATGGATGCGTAGTGCCTCAGGCTGTTAAAGAGTCTTCACATCTCTGTGGACAACTACTTTTTACCTGTGTTGAGAAGAACCTTTTGCTCTCTCCAAGCGCCTGAAAAGTGAGCTTCGCAGGGTGCATAGCTTGATACTCTGGCCCCTGCGCGTCGTCACACGACTTGCGCTCGCACTCACACTCCAAACACTCCATGCAGCAGCCGGCCTTGCCCTGCGCCACCAGCGCGGCGAACTCCCGTGTCCGATTCCTCAACCAAGGCCCGGTACCAACTGCGCCAGCCCGTGCTCCGTGCGGACACCGAAACGCATCATCTTAGCCCTCCGCGGTAAGGCCCCCTTTGCCCGGGCCAAGCAGATAACATCTGCGATTCGCCGCGATGCCAGCGCGTCTGAGGTCTCCCCATACCTGGTAAGCAAACTGGATGGCAATGACTCCAGCTGCATGTCGTCAATCGCCGTGACACTTGATGTGTCAAATTCGTGCAGCTTTTCACGTCAGACTGTTGCGCGCCAGGGCACTCGGATATGACTCGGATGATTTCCTCGTCACCGCAGGTTCCGCCGAGTCTGTCCAAACTCTGGCATCGCTGAGCAATGCGCTGACATGCAACATAAGAGCAGCATCTCCTCCCGCGAGGCGGACATTAGAAAGTCCCATGCAGTGATGCCCTGCGTTTGGTCAAAGCGCAAGTCCAAAGGTCCGTCTGCCTGACACAGGCAAGACAGCCTTGTTCTCTGCCCTTCTCGCTTCAGCTCTAGCGCCCTGCTACAGCAGGTACAACGAGAGAACAACTGCTATGGAATGATCAGGAAGATCTGCTGAAATTTGTGGCCTCAGGCCGAAATCCGCGACCAGCATCGTCAAACTGCGGTGACGAGATCCCAAGGTCAAAGAGGACCTTTGACCAAGTAGACTTGTCAGAAAGGCATAAGGCATCAGATACATGTGTATATATATATATATATTTCTATCTGTATCTCTGTGTGACATATTGAGATTGAGGTGAATGCAACAGGGTGGATGGGGGGGGGCGAGGCGGGGCGGAAGGGGGGGAGTAGGCTGGATTCCACTATGGAAATGCACCACAAAGACCACGCCAAAAACCATGAACTGCCTTTTTTGAGACCCCCCAGCCTGAACCCATCCTCATTTCCCCACGGTGGGACCCCCCAAAGACCTTTCTGGAAAGCACCCTCCTGGGACAGGGGTTCTGACACCCTGACATTAAGCCTGACCTCCTCCGACACTGCCCTCCGGCCCGCTGCCGAAGGACGCGCAAGCATTCACAACTTATGCAAGTGAGATCATTCAGCCTTAGCTATATCACTTTGGAGACCCGCATGACGAAACCTGATAACAAAGGCTCAATGATACTTTTCTCTTACAAAATTCGCAGAAGAGTATTCTCGGACTTAAGATAATGCAACCATTAAGACTCATGACGTTGATTATGCTGGTTGTGCTCATAGAGCTTAGTGATATGAACGTTTTGATTTGGAATCAGTATATATTGACTATGCTACAGATAGCAGCTATCTTGGTTAAAGTTATACTACAGATGTCAAGTATCGTAACTGTACTAGTCATATTACTGATTTCAATTATAACAATATGTCCGAAAAGGGCAGGATGGCTCCAACATTGGTTGGCTTTGGGATGTTTGATGATGGAAGCAAACAGTTCAGTTGTTCTTCTTGTTTTTATGTGCGGGTCGCGATGCACGTACACATTCATACATTGGCTTTGCGCATGCTCTGCTTGAGCGCAGCACCGCTGAAATGCGAACCCCCAGGGGCTTCAACACAGCCTGCGCCGGCTCTGCGCGGGGAAAAGCTCAAGACATCGGCATTGACAAACTGAGGGCCAGTTGTGCACGCCTTCATGGAACTGAAGGGAGCGTGATGGATGGTAAAGCGGGGGTCGGCCTTCCAGCTGCAGGGCACGAAGAGTGTTTGGGAGGCTGGCTCTAGGCCTTCATCAGCTCCTTCCCCACCGCGATGGCTTCCTGGCACCGACCAAATACCGCTATGCGATGACAACCCTGAAAGCAGTCCAACACCTGGCAGGGACCACCGGATCCATGTCGAAAGCATGAAGGGAGCCCGAGGCAGACATGGCAGCCAACATTGCGCGAGTGTGGCCGCCGCGTCCAAAGGTGCCATCCACGTAGACGCCGCCTTCGGCACTGAGTATTCAAACTCATCGAGGCAGCAGTCTGCGCCGAGCCTGGATTTGGTGCTACGAGCTTCTTGACCTCAGTCCGTTGACTCCTGTGCCCACTACATCCCACTACAATCATCACAGCATGGGTTGCCATTTGCTGCAATATCCTGCAGTGCAAGTACCCGGCCACTTCTTCGCAAAGTGCTGGGGTGTGCGTGCCAGGAGCTTGTACAGAAGGTCTGATACCAGTATGAAACCTTACAGGAAAGAGGCCGAAAAACATTTTTTCACTTTGTGACAGGACCTTTGCCTTCACGGACCACAATCTTTTCAGAACAGCTGAGCTGCTGTTTTCCAGCTTTGATCTCCAACTTGCGGCCGTGAAAGTCAGAGCCAGTCCAACCTCGCATGCACCGAGGTTTAGTCGGTGCGAGCCGCAGCACCGAACGGGCCGCGACCAGACTCGATTGCATGCTGTGCTTTTTGTGAACTTGTGCGTGCCCGCTGAACGGACGTGGTGCAAACGCTGGCCGGCAAGGGGCTGTAACACCGTTCTCGTCTTTCTTGGTATGTATACGTGAGATACACTTCTAGTGGTCAAGTGGCAGTGACATTGAAGCAAGGTTGTACCTGCAAAGATGTTGATGTGCAGCCGGTACTGCGACAAGATTCAGTTTCTGTTCCGCTGCTATCTCCTAACTGCCCTGACTAGAGCGGCTACACTCAGTAGGATCGTATTAGGCTGCAGCACGCAGGCCAAGGGCCTACGTGCTGCGCGGGAAGCATTCATTCGTACAACAATCAAGCGGTCGATTGTAAAGTTGCCCTCATTTGCCCTCCACGCAAAAAGTGTGCTATGCGCATCGCCTTGTTCAAGAGCATCCTCTCAAAGCTCCGGGCTTATGGCCTTCTCGAAGGCTGCCTTTGTCGCGAAGGTTATCCAGGCGATGCCCTGAAGGGGGAGGGCTCTGCAGTCCGCTGTGAAAAGTTGCACGCTCCTGCAGGGCCTTGCAGTTGCCTGTCTTGCTGTCAAGCATGATGCGAGGCTCGCCAACCTCACAGCTATCGTCCACAACAGGAGTTCAAGATGCGTTAAGATGCTGGACATTGTTCTCTGGATTTTTCGTTTGTGTGCGCTAAAAAACGATGTCACGTCAGAGGGTGCGTCCGGGCTGCTATGTCGCCAGCCTGCAAAGCAAGGGGCATGCAAACAAACTCTGATGAGCCTTGGACGCCCCAACGCCTCGCAGAAGAACTCCTTCAGAGAGGCGGCGCTTGCAGAAGGAGGCAGGAACTTGATGAAGATCTCAAAGCCCTCGACCTCGATTGATTCGATTGCGTGGCTTTGCAGATGTACACAGCAGATGGTAAGGATCTCACTTGTCCAGCCGCATTTTTTGCCAGGCCGGGCATGTGCGCCATGTTTTCGGCAGCACGGAGGGCAGGACGCGGGCTAGTGTGGGGCAGTGTGAAAATGTGAGGCGTTGCGAGTATACATACTGCCCACATTGGAGTGGGGCAGCTTGCCCTCTTTGCAGTCTGTACCGAGCTTAAGAGCCTCAGGGAATGGGAAGCTTGAATGAACAAGCCACACATACGCTGTCTTGACTGCATGTCTTGAGTTCTGGCACCAGACGGCCATAAAGAATTCCCACGTCTGTCAGCCCATCCAGTCCTCAGGCTTTCTTGGCAACACACTATAGCACACGGATCAGCACAACACCCCGAAAGTAACATGCATAACGGGCTCTGTTCCCTGAATGTTAAATGAAAATGACTGTGGCGCGGACAACAAAAGCGTAGACGAGCGCCGCAAAAGTCCCGTTTTTTGTTTTGCACTGTTCTTTACCTGTCCAATCATGCGGCTATTTGCGTTTTTGCCCTGTAAAATGAAAGGTGAAAGACACGGGCAAAAAGGGCCTCATGTACGCTTCCTATAGGAATCCGATTATAAGGTCCACTCATCCAATGTCGAATGCATTTCATTCGTAAAAACTTTCCTAACCCACAAAGGACCCCAGTTTCTAGCCCTATACTACTATATCACCAGCTACGTCCTTATCCTCAGTTCACTTCTTTTCATGGGTTCTTTGGGCGGTCATTTATTCCCGCAGCAGGATTGGGATGCGCTCAGAAGAAGACAAGGGGCCAAGTTCGCAGAGTCGTCCTTGTGGGCCCCAACGCGTGCTCCAGCGCGCCCCACGCTGTGTCATGCTGAGGCATTGCAGCAGCGGCTGAAATGTGCTTCTGCCAAATAACCTAAGTAAAAGGACAACACGGCACTCGGAACAGCCGAAATTTGTATACCATCATGTTCAGTTCAGTTCAATCACATGTTCTGCTGTGCAGCCGGGTGAAGCTGTCCTTGCAGAAGGAAGCTGTATTTAGCCTCGGCGAAGTCACAACTCTTCAGAACTCACAACCCATCAGCTGCCTCAGGCTGAGCACGGAGATGTCTGAGCACGGTGCAGTGCGGCGGCCACCGGAGCCAAATCCGCGGCCAAGGAAGGCATCCCAGAACCGGCCAACTGTCCGAAGTCCAAGCTTCTCTTTGATTCATGCTTGTTGACTTCTGTGAGCTATGTGGGGACAATGGCGGTGAGCATGTGGCAGGCCTTTGCGCTTTGCCACGACTTAGATGCTCTGCCCATCCAGCGCAGTGACCTGCCATCACATACCAATTCTTCTGGCAGCCGGTACAGCCCTGTCAGCCCCGTCATGCTACAACTATCTGCAAGTACCAGGACCATTGCTGCAGATGCCTGTGCATGACTTGGCTTTTTTCAAAGGCGGCCGATGCCAAGAAAAGGCCGATGCTTCTGGAGGCGCAGGAGGATGCCTCTGAGGCAGCTTAAAGCATTCCAGTTGATCGGCGCAGACCTAGCCGGTGCCAAGCATTGCCAAGCTGCCAAGTCCGGAGGATCCAAGCCGTCGGGGACTGGGAAGACCAGCTGGCACGCCTGACTTGAATTTGGTAGACGCATATTGGGCATATTGACACCCTCACATTGGGTCACACCATGTCACACCCTCGCGATACGGGGCATAGCTGAACGAAGCCGAAATTTGCACGTCGTGCAGCCTTGCGCCATGCCAGGCTTCGGGTGCAAGCTGCCAGCGCAGCGTTCGTGGCGCGGAAGGTTGTCAGTGGGACGCTGGTGTGCCTGGAGGCCTCCTGCCCGATCACAGAGAGACAAGCCATAGGAAAAGCAAAAGACATCTCAAGTAATGACCTTTGACGCAACACGATTTCTAAACTAGCCGAAGACCTATCCGATTTCCACACAAGTCTCTCATCCCTGGCCTTCTGCATCCGTGGCAGCAGGTCAAGGGCCTCTCGCAAGCATCTCAAACTTCAAAACGCTTTCACGATTTCCATTGGCAAGCTGGAGCACCAGCTCCCAATGAAGAGCTTCAGCAAAGACGCCCACCGCGCCATGCATAGCAACAAGAAATGGCTGGCTGGCCTTCCAGATCCATGCGCATCCATGCATATCCATGCGCATCCGTGCTGCTCATCTCACCTTGTGCTGTGCATCGTAGGAACCGTAGGTCTGCGCACCTCCTGGCTCTGGCTTGCAAGCCGCTGGGCCAAGCCCAGGTGCTTCAAAGCGTGCTCCCAATGGCCCTCGGTGCACTCTCATCTCATGCCCTGACGGTGGCAAAGGTTAGCATCTGAGACTGGGGCACCATGTGCACAGGCACCAAGTGCAGCTGAACAAGCCTCGGCATCTGTCGATCCCCACGGCAGAGGCTCAGTCAACACAACCCAAGCATTTGCCAAGCAGCAACTAGCAAGCTGGCAGCGTTGGATGGTGACGCCTTAGGTATCACGCAGGCCCACCGGTTTGCACGCAGTGTCGAACACTTCAGGGGTCCTCAACTTCCTTGTCCAGACTGGCAAGGATCTCCATGCTTTCCCGCCAGGCTGCACCTCAACAGAAGGCGACCGGCTCTTCTCCCAATGTCTGTCAACAAGCGCGGAAGAGAGTGGAAGTCACCCAGGCAGTCAAGAAGAAGACGAATTTGTCACAAGCTGCGGGCCTTTCTGGCAGGCGGCAAGTGCGGCACTGTAGGCAGGGATGTCCAACACCAGCCTTCGATTATCATGCGAGGAGGCCCACGCCCTAACAATTTGCCCAAACCACGCCTCATGTCGACGGCTTTGCTGAAATGCTCCAGAGCCCTGTCCTTGCCGTGAGCCGCCCTCATGCTTGCATGATTCTTGCAGCATACGCATCGATTCTCAGCTGTGCAAAGGGCGGGTCCCAATGTGATCCGCGGCAAGCTTCACTCATGGCATTCGTGAAACCTCGAAGACAGGTTCAGGATGCTCCTACAGATGCTGCTACGGATGCTCCTGCTGTCTCCTCTAATAACTCTACGTCGCCTCGAGGACACGGCTGAAAAAGAGCAATGCAGGTCTCTGCGTGGGCTCTGCAAATCTCATGTACTAGTAGCAGCCAACCCTGGATAACTCGCTGCACACTTCTCAGCACAACTCCAATGGCAATGACACACGAGTTGGCTCTCAGGCCCAGGCCGATTGTCAGAGTTTTGCGTTTCTGGCCCGGCGCTCGGCACATTTCGGCCTCGCAGCCCCCTGCACCAAGAAACTAAACACCATTACCGTGGCGGACATAGTCTGCCATAGCTCACAGGGTAACTGCCCCCTTCTCCCCCTTGCCCCCCCCCCCCCCCCACCCCTCGCCAAATCTGCGGTTCCTGTTGGGCTTTGCACCTGCAACTCTAATCTTACTAGATTTCCGGTCCTGCACTACATGTCTCAGACAACCCCTGTGACACTCCCCCCAGCCCTGCAACTGCCAAGCCCGGCCAACAAGCCGCTGGAGAGTACGTGGTGCCCAGCTCTTTCACAGGCACCCGCCTTGACCGGGCGTCGACAGAACTTTTCAACAGCTGTCAGCAGTCAAGAGTAGCTAAAGGTCAATGCGCGAAATGTGTAATGGGATTTGCTGGGTCTCCGGCCACCACTCCGAAGCAGGCTGCGTCCGGGTCAAGGTGTCGTTTTGGCCTTTTTTGCTCTTTCAGACGAAGCTCGTGCTAACAGAGCTCTGAGTCGGGGAGGCGGCATGTGCTGCAGGATCGCCAGTGCATGGTGCCACTGCCGTGCTGCAGCACCTAAGATCAACATCAAGGCCTGATAACATGGGGAGTAGGCGGAGCGCGTGGTCTCAGAGAGGTACACACAGAGATCGCGGCACCGAAGTGAGCCAGGGCTGCTCGCCCATGGTGGCAATCCAAATCTGCATACATCAACATACATCAACATATGCCACCAAGATGCTCCACTTGGAATCCACTTTGCGTGCAATGCATGCCAGTTGCACCTAAAAGTGCAACAGCCAGGTCCCATCGCGCCGCATCGCCGGCCGCTTTAATGGCAACACCTTCTTGCCAGGAATGCCCAGAGCAGGGCTGTGGACACAGCTCATCAACGCTTCTCTCTACCTGTTGGTACCAGCAGGATTGATGCTTGCTATATACTTGCTTAGATCCGCTTCTGAGCTTCGAGCTCACTGCAGCAGCATCAGCGCAGCCTGTTTGACAGGCTTCGAACTTCTGCAGCGCGTCCTGCAACACGACAGGTCTGGTTTTGCTTTTGTCTTCGGTGGCCTGTGGGTAGCACGCTGTGATGCAGCTGCAGCTAGCTGCAGGTAAATCGCAATCAATAGCAACCCGCTTAATGCCGTCACAAAACATCAGCTTGAGGAACCCTCTCCTGCCGAGATGCAGCTGACGCGAACGACTGCCTGAAGTTAGCTTGAAAACAAGAGTCACTGCATTAATTGCAAGATTTGAATGTGCCTGATCTTGGCGGAGTGCAGTGCATGGGCTGTTCGGGCAAGCAGAGAGGCTCTGCCAGCATTCTGTGCCATCCGAGCAGGCCCTTGTTGAGTTGTGCACTCTCGGCGCGTGAGAGCAAATATTGGCTGTGCGCACCATGCGCAGTACATGTCAATCCAGCGCGGCATGCGAATTCATGTTCCTTGCAGTACGCGCTACAAGTAGTGCTGTTGTGCAACAGTTTCATGGAGAAGCCAAGCAAACTTCGCTTAAGCCAGCAGATTGTTGTAGCTTCGACATCAACTCGCCGACTGCCTTGCCCGACAACAGGCACGGGGAGACCCTGAAAACATTGCAATCTTTTTTCGGGAGCAGATCGAGCACGAAGACATGCTTAGCCAAAGCCTAATCGCATCAGTACTTCTGCTTGAGCTCCCTCATAACATGTGAGCTAGAAGGTGCAATTCCAAGCGAGAGGCCTTAAAGGCCGCTGGCGCAAACGCAGGTTCTCTAAAACTTTGGTGATGTAGGAGTTGAAGACCGTTAGATCCCTTCTATCAGACCTGTGCATGCAAAAAGTCCAAACACACGCGTTCGCAACGGGTAAACGCAAAAAACAATGGCAACACGTGGCAAGATCTGTTTAGATCAGGCCATCTCGGCGGCGAGCTTGGGACGTCCAGATTACACTCAGAAAAATAACAGCACCACCGACCTCCGTCCGACCTCCCCACACGAGAGTAAGCGCATTATCAGCTATTTGGTCAGTAAGTCGTTCTTTCCGAAAGGCTGCTTGGCAGCCGGGCTCTATACGACTCTTAAAGCATTTTTGTAAAGCCATTCCGTGCACCTCCCTGACTTGGACTTGGCCTCCTCTCCTCTCCTCCTCCGGCTCTTGCATGTCGTTTATCATGATATATTGCAAAGACATTGAGGTGTCCAGATGTCCACATCAGGACGGTGCACCGAATGCATTGCGGTCTGCTGTCAAGGAATGTCCGTGCCCAAACCCTGCTCTTCCAAGAAGGCCTTGACTGCCTCGTACACAGAACTGGCCATCAGTGCAACCGAGCAACTTGAAATGCTGGAAGTTGAAGGTTCTCAGTAAGGGTGGGGCGAGGCACGCGTTGCGCTGCGCAAACTTTTTGCCTCAGGGCAAGAGCAAGCATCACAAGAACATCTGCAAACCCACCTGCTCTACTCACTGAAAGCATGTGCGGCTGCACAAACTTGCAATCGTCAGCCAAACTCCAGGCCTCGGCACCAGTCGCCCTGGAAGGTTCGGCCAAGTGCAGGCACCTCTCAGGCAGTTGTGCGGGAATGTGCTCCTAGCCCGTTCGCATCTGCATTTAGTCAGACAGTCAACCAGGTTGATCACACAGCCTGTGCGAAAGCACGGAACACTTGCGGATCAGCAAGCGATGGCTCATATGTCCACACCTTGCACTCGGTGCACGAATCGCTGGGAGGCACAGTTGGTGCCAATGCTGCTCAAGAATGTTGATGGGTCACGCTACTTAATTTCAATCTGGGTCCATCTTGGTCAGCTAAAGACGTTTGCGTCGCTGAGATCCAATCCCAAACCTTGTCGCCAGCTGCTGTGTCCTTGCAGGCTGCTGTGTCTGACGCATGACGCGTGATGTCTGCCAGTGCAGTTGCCGGCATGCGTAGCTCGTGGTAGCTGCAGATCGCAAGAACACAACGGCCGTGGCTCCTTTGAGAATGTTTTCTGCAACATATTCTGAACCTGCAGGGGTGTCCGCGTCAATCGCAGCAAACAGGCGCGCGATGCTGACAAATTCGTGACTGGATGTCTCTTTGCAACATCTGTGCGGCTGGACAGCTGGCATGTCTGTGAACCACGTGCCTGCATGAGAATCGTCTTGTCCTCTACTGCATGTCGTGGCTCGCTTCCAAGAGAAGCCTCGGCTGGCAAAATTTAGCAAATCCGAGGTGGGAAGGAAGGACGGGCATGCTGAGCGCTTTGCATTGCCGGAACTTGTGGTGAGGGCCTCCTGAGGCCCACTCGCTGACAAAATCGCATGAAGCTACAGCTGCCCAAAACGCACAAGTGCCTTCGGAGACAATAGCTGAGGCGGCATTGACTCAGCTACTTGTGCTGCGGCACTCAGTGAAGTGCCCTGGAAACCCTCGGCGGCAACAGGGCATGTTCAGAAAAGGGTAGTCATGCAGAGTCATGCAGATGTGATGCTTGCAGTATCTTGCAGTCTTGCAGGCCACTCTTGTGCTCTCAGCCCTCCGCTGTGCCCTGTCCAAAGTACCAAAGCACTCGCTGTGCAGCGTCGGACACAGCTTCGGATATGGAGATGCGCCAGGAGCCTGCAAACTGGTGCCTGGCAAGAAGCGTTTGCAAGCGCACATGGAAGCCTGACTGCCAGCCATTTTAATCGCAGCCAACGCAATCGGCAATGGGGCATAGTGCCAGTAACCACGCAAGGAGAACGGCACGCCGTTCAGCTTGAAGCAAAGCACCATGCGGAATTCCTTTACAAGTTCAGCACGAGCACAACAGTGCTTGATCTTCGGCCTCTTTTAGCTGCAGCATGCTTCTGCCGGATGTGTACAAGAAAAGCCCGATTTGTGAGTCCCTCGCTTTTTCATTCTGCAGTAGGTACTATGGCACTATGGCACTATGGGCTCTGGTCATCCCCTCGTCCGTCTCTCTGGCCCGTCCCTCGTCCCTCGCTGCCCCTCCCTCCCCCCTACTCTCTCTCCCCTCGCTTTTTTGTCGCACCTGCCCCAGGGCCGAAAAGCGGTCCTGGCAGCTCGATTCGTTGTCACTGTGTTAGCATGTCAGTATGAGAGAACATGGTTTATGCCTCATTATGCCTCATTGCCTCTTGATCTCATGCCGGGCCTCCACTTCGCCCTCCACATGCTCTCCGTGCCATGACCTGGCCACGGGCTCGGAACTACAATGACCTACAATGTATGTCAGGATGCTCTTCATGCAGTCGCGTGGGCACCTGCTTTGTACGCTGTCTCGTAGGTGGCAGAGCTCCTAGAAAATGTCGGCGTGTGTTGATGGCAGCTTCTCAGTGCTCATCTTCCCTTACCACTACAGGGAGACCGGGAGCAACAACTCCGCACGTGCCCCGTGATCTTGTCATTCGCAAGGGCGCGCCTGCTTGACCATCTCCTTACATCTTGGAATTGGAAGCAATCAAAGCTGCAGAGCCTCTGACAAGTAAAGCAAAAACCTAACAACAAACACTTCGTGCTCCAAAGCTAAGACGCATCCAGAAGCAGGACTGGCCCCCGCGGAGCTTGGAGACCTTGGCAAGCATGGAAGTTGTGTGGCCTGAACACAGCGTGTTTGGTACACCTTGGGGAAGCTGACACGAGTGTGCAGAAACTATCGCTGAACTCTGCAAAACAGGCTCAATCTTTGGAAGAGAACGGAGCAGGATAGCAACGCTCTCGCTACTCGTTGAGGGGCCTGGTTGGCCGTCGCTTTGAGACATGTATCGCCGAACTCGCTCAGCCTAGGCAGGCTTTGTGTTCACTCTCTGTCAATGCAGCAGCCCGATGCAGCAGCCCAGGCCACTTTCTCTGTCATGGAGTCATGGAGTAGCCAAGCTTTTTCACTCCGGCTCGGGAATAATTCGCGCGTGGCGCGCGCGTTGAGAAGCAAGGAAGTCGCTTGTCAGACGATGCGTCTCTTCTCGGCCTTCGCTGGACGTCGCCTGCGAGAGGGGGTGTGGCACCCAAAGGTGAGAGAAAATTCGGGATGATTGAGACATGACTCACTAATGCAGCGTGAGACTAGTTTGGCAGTGCACGGTCCTCTCCGTTCATTTTCAGGAGCTGCTGCAGCATACCCTTCATCTCCTGGATCTCGAATCCCCACGGTGAAGTGAACTCAACTCAACTCAGTGACCACTTTGGCAGTGCCATGCCTGGTTCTCGCAGAGATCATGCAAAGCACTCCTCGGCTGACGGTGGCAAGTTCGCCCGTGGCACGGCCAGTGCAACGGCCGCGCATACCAGGCTTACAGTACCCTGCCAAAGTTCAAGGACTCTGGCTGATCTCGTCGCACGAAAAAGAGCTTCTCCTTCGTCTTCTGGGGTAGAATTGGAATGATTGCCTTCAGACAGGATGTCACTGTAACCTTTGGCTCTGACATCGCCGTGTTTTGCCTCACATTTTCCTGCCCGACCTTCATGAGCACCGACATCACCGTCGGCATGTCCAGCAAAACTATCCGGTGGAACCTATAAGCGCGCTTTGCTTTGTCAACTGCCTTGCATGGCTACTTGGTCTACGGGGTCTTGTACACATCTGCACGCGGATGCCAACACTCTCTCTCCAGAGGTGCGGGGGACCGTTCCGCAAAATAGGAGTTCAGGCTGCCGGCGACGTTGAGGTACGGCATGACGTTCAAGTTCAGAAGTGGCTGGTAGCCGTGCGCGTCCAGCACATAATCCAGTCTTGGCTGCGAACTCTCACGCAACACACCCCAACCGATCACCAGGACACCTCCCACGTGCTAGTCTGCTAGTCAAACAGGAATGTGCTACACTTGCTGTGTGTTCTTGAGGTCTGCATTTTGGATTTTTCGGCAGGTTAAGTACACGAAACGACTCCTTCTTGATCCTTCTTGATTTCAGTCCAGCTTGTCTGCAGTTTTTGCCAGAACGACGTCGCAAGCAAAGCTACTACTGCTTGGAGATTCAAGTCACTTCTCTCTGGTTTGAGCAAAGACTTCACTGGCCACAGCTGCACACCCTGTGGGCACCCCCCGGTCAAAACGACAGCGAAAAGATACGAAGCATTGGGAAACGATCCGGGCGGGTTCCGTTTCGTTGGACGCGAGAGAGCGGAAAGCCAAGTCGGAGCCAGGTGTCTGAGCTGTAGGCCCAGCTTCCTCCAAGGCCTCAAGGAAGCCGTAAGTTGACACCACATCAAGAACAGATGGTGTGTTCCTTTTCTTCAGCTTGTTGCGAGGCATGGACGTATTCACCGTGCGCAGCTTCAAAAAGACTCTGTTAAGAGCTGATCCTTGTGCCAGACGCACGCCAGAATGATACCAGCGACTTCTCCTCGACGCTGGTTCACACAGCCCGAGTAGACCAAAGGCCTGTCAGGGAGTAAAAGTTCACATGCTTCGCTCAAAAGCTTTCTTGCGCATGGTGCCATCGTCAGTGACCATGTAAATTGCACATTGCTTGACTTAGCTAGACTTGGGCAGATTTTGGCCTCGACTCCTTCCCGATCGCGATGACTCGAGTTTCTGCGGTTGGCAAGCTTTCTGCCTGCGAATCCAACCAACCATCCAGCGTGTCTCGCCTCTGCGGATCCCGTGGGATGCGCGGATCACTGGCAAGCTCTGCGTCGCTGCGTGCTCAGCTGCGCAATTGCTACTCAGCGGCTTCCAAACAACCGACTCTTTCAGCTTCTTGACAGCTAACTCCTCATCACCTGCATGCACAGAGCCAAGATCAAATGGCTTCAACAGCATTGACACAGCAGCTGAAGAAAAAGAGCAGCCTTACAAAAGGGGGTGTCTGTATGCAAGCCCTACGAGACTCCGCCCAAACAACCATCTAAAAATGTGAGACTAGCCAAGTCGGCCAGCATGTCCCGTACCTTCGGTGGCTCGGAGCATTCGCTGTACGTGGCCGCTGTTGATCCAGCTTGCCGATCCGTCTGGAAAGTCCTGTACGACTTCTGCAGCCACGGCATCCAGATCACTTCCCTGAGCATGGTCAGCCGAAAGAAGATCATTCACACGAGCAAGAACGGGTTCAACAACACGACATGTTAATGTGACATGGACATGCGCTCAGAGTCCGAATCTCTTGCCACGCTGCCGAAGGAGTGCTGTCCTCGCTGCGGAGGCCCGGCTCTTCTTTCTCCATGGGAGCAGCCGAAAGGAACCGATTGGAACGGAATGGAACGGATTGGAATGGATTGGAATGGATTGGAACGGATTGGAACGGATTGCGGCTGAGACTGCCTGCTGTCTGATCTGCCTGGCCAGTGACCGGGTCACTGACAACCACGTTCATTGTCAAGAAGCTGTCAAAACAAGTAGTCGTGGGGCCAAGAATGTTTCACACATGCTCTTGATTTGGTGCGACATACTGGGTGTGTGAGATGGAAGACAGCTAAGGATACAACACGTGCAGCAGTTCAGACCACAGACACCTACGGCCTGTAGACTTTACCCACCTTTCCAATTTGCTTCATCCCTCCGACAGGAGCTCCCACATTACCCACCGACATGCTGTTCCAATATAGTTTCAAAAAGGAGAAGAAGCTGCACAGTGATTATGGACTAGGATCAGGTAGCAATCGACAGATGCCCGACTGAGTTGCTGGCAGCGTCCCTCTGTGCCTCGAGAAAGCAGCTTGCAATGCGGCAACCAGGGGATGCAAGCAGGAAAGTTTCATATGCAGATTAGGCCTCTTGTGCAGTCAGGCTGGTGCAGTGTTCACTTGCATCATCCGCCTTCTTCTTGGAGGTTTGCCAACTGCCGCGGAAGAAGTGAGGCACCTAAGCATGACCGGACATACAAGCAAAGCACCAGCAAAGCACCAATCAAGCACCTGGTTGCTTGTTGAATCATGGCAGCAAAAACCGCGGGCCTCTTTGAAGATGAAGGAAACGACAGCGCGGAACCTTCGGACTGGCTCATTGTCATCCACGGAAGCTGCCGCGCTGGTCCTGGCTGGGGCGCGCGCTGAAGAAGGGAGTCTTCTTGTATGCGGTTCTCGAAGTTCCACCTCGGAAGCCATTGTGAACCTCCGCTCAGAACCACTTACTCAAAGCTACAGCTGCTTCTACCCTCAGCTTGAGCGTGCCGATGATTAGACATGCAAACCGAGCCCGAGGCATCAGTATCCGTGCATGTGGAGGAAAGTCAGAGCAACTTTGGACGTACTCCTCGTGCGGACAGTTGTATTCTGGGCGTGGCTTCAAGGCGACTTGCTGCACGTCCTGCAGGACTGACACGGCATTGTGCATCCCTTCTCCGGCAACATCCTGGCCTGAGAAGGCACAGCTTTCTGCAGAACTACAAGATCTTACTGGAGCACACCTCACGTTCAATACATGCAATGATGTCGAGCTTCCTGGGTCGCACGACTACCCCAAACACACGAGCTTTCTGGATTGGATGACTACGATGGCGACTGGACCGGTTCCCTCCTCGGATTTCCATGACGCCCCGCCTTGCATGGATCCGGCAAGCCTACACAGCTGCTACATCCGCTACATCCTTTTTGACAAAGAACTGCGGGGACATACCTTCAGGAGACATCTGTTGGTGGCTACAACATGCGATGCAAGAAGGTGTAGCGGCCAAAATATGGACACTATGATGCATTCATCCCCAGCTGTTGCCAGTTTTGTTTGCCCAGGCCAAGTTCAATGCTGGGGTAGCTTGACTGAGTCTTATGCTCCGTCAGAGTTTTGAGAGCGAAGCTTGCAACGTGCCGTCTACCTCAGCAATTGTTGCATAGTCCTCAGAGTCATGTAGAGCACTGTCACCTTGATGGAGACCGCCATAAGGGGCGTTCTCAGCCAGTTTCGTGACGCCGTGTACAATCGACATTATCGCGCAGTGCTCCGCATCCATGGCAGTGTTTTCGCAGTGGCTCGGGGCGGTCGCTGCAGGGACTGCCCAGAGACCAACATTCAGCCTGCGCCGCGCATACTTTTAATGCGATGCTGTCAGCACCTTTTTTTCTAACCCTGAGCCTGCGCAGTTTGGAGCCTTCGAGCCTTGGATCCCTTTGAGTCGCCTTGTCTTTGTGACTTCGGAATGGTGCTCTTGCTCTTGCTATCTCTTGCTACTAAGTTACTATGTCCAACATGATGAAGCTTCAGATGTCTTCCTCTCACGCGTGCACAACTAAGCGGAAGTAACGGGTCCTGCCCTGTTCATTGTTACATGTATAAGGAAGTGCCCATGGAGCTTTACATTGCCTCGAGCCTTTCTATTGAATGTTTCTACTGAGTCTGCTGAGAAGCTGATAGGATTTGCACTAGCGGTCCGATCATGCAAGAATGTCGGAATGTTATCCGAAACTCTCCATCATCTTAGCCAACACCACTTTCCTTTTGATAACAGTTTGAGGAACCTTTGCTCTGGACTGACTCCTGGTACTCACTCTTGGCTTCGGGAATATCATGTACTGTAGTCCCTTTCTGCCAAAAGCAGCACTCTGCAGGGACCTTGAGCAGTGCCGAAACCTGGGCATCCATGCATACCCCGGCAAAGTCGGCGGCAGGTTCGTGATCAAGTCAAACTTCTCGTTCGCACTCGCTAGATAGCGGACGAAGCGCAAGCTGGGAGGCAACGCCGCTTCCAGATTCCTGTCTTCACATGCATGTTACGCCGAGATGAGCCACTGATATGAAAGGATGGAGAAGTTAGTTGGGTACGACTGCCAAGAACTCGAGATGCAGACTGGGAACCATGCGTGCTAGCTACAGGCTTGCTGTACCACAGACCGAGAGGTTGTTGTATGGTTTCGCCTGGGCCATTTCCCGGTCAGAGCAGAAGACGAAATGCACATGTTACGCGCCCCGCGTCCCTGGTTCCCCATGGGCCGCACTAACGTTCGACCAGTCCTGACCACGCATATGTACACAACGTGTCATGCACATGCCCACGCATTTTCAATTCCCTTCCCTGACCGTAGATCTCTAAGCCACTTGAGGTCAGCATAAAGGGCGTGTCTGCGTGCGGTGATTTGCCTGCATTGCTTGTCCGTCACGTACCACGGGCGAGGGCATCCCGAAGTGATCGTGGCCTTCGCCTGGTGCCCGTCCACGCCTGCGATGATTCACATACATCAATACATAACTACATATAATTCTCTTCTACGTCGCATGAGTATATAATCTTCGCAATTTGCCACAAAATCACGCTGATACGCTGCATAAGGGTGATGCAATTGACTGTGTATAGAAGGTTGCCTGCCAGGTTGTCCAAGGCAGCATAGTTGGCGAGCACTCCACCGAGAGAGTGGCCCGTGTAGTAGATTTGTTCCGGATCGCAGTCCCCCTTCTTGTATGCCTCCAACAGCGCTTCCCTGAGGCCCGATTGTAAGGTTCGATAGCAATGCTTCCAGGAGCTGGCGACCCAAACTTTGTGCCCTTCGGAGAAAGGCTCTTTCTTACCCATGGCATTGAAGTTAGCCTTCCAGCCTTCTTTGCTGGCGGTCCCACGGAAAGCCACCCAGCACTTGCCCGCAAACTGGCCATCCTCGCTGCGTATCACGCGCGCCATCATGAAGTCAGATCCGTCTGGGTGCTTTCCCTCCACTTCCTTTAAAATACGGCCGCATTGGCTTGAAGCCTCTGAGGCACTGCGGTAAGTAGAGGCCGCGCACAAAAGGGCTCGGCCAGCTAGTGCCCACTGTTGAGGGCTTAATCGCTGCACGTCGTCCTTGGGCCCGCTTGGGAACTTCCGTGACGCCGAGACGTTGCTTTCCAACTTCGTTCTCTCCATGGCATCTCTTGCGGTATCTCTCCGATCATTTCGCAGCTGTAGCAGTGGGCATTCCTCCGGTTCGGCGATTGCTGCTCGTGCTGCGACGGCGACAAAAACAACGCGAAGCATCATTCTACCATGACTCTCCACGCGCTCTTCTACTCATGTTTCGGAAAGGTATTGTTGGGTTGTGTGCAACACCGTCGCGCAGATCGAACTACTGATGTTACTGCAGGTCACTACCATGCAGTGCCGGTGCCGGGTTTTTGAGCCCAAGCAATGCAGGGATCCAGGGTGACCACTTGCTCCGCAACAGGATTCACTCCCAGCCACCATTCATGAACCTGCATGGACTGTACAGGAAGTAGTGGACTAGGGCTTATTGTGCTCTCATGCTCCTTCAGGTATGGCCTTTTTGCTTCAACCATCTTCAAATGTAGAAAGAAGTTGCTGCCGGATCAAGCAGGAAAACGAAGAAAAGGAGAGTGGAACAGACTGTAGCAGCACAGTGCAGCGATGGACCCCCACAGTACCGGAGGCCGATCACAGACTGCTGATGGCTGGCATCAGAGAGCATCAGAACACCAGCTTCCACAGTGCAGCGATGGACCCCCACAGTACCGGAGGCCGATCACAGACTGCTGATAGCTGGCATCAGAAGGCATCAGAAGGCCAGCTTCGTGTACTTGCGGCACATCACGGCGTACCTCTGCACTGGAACACATGTAACGAGACATGAAGGAGTGACCACATTGACATGTGGTACCACATGTGGTACCACTGAGCGGCTGGAGAGGCGCACGGTGAAAAATTGCTGAAGCCGGATACGACAGACACCTTAGGCGCCTCGGGCTCGGCCGGCTCGTGGGTGAAATTTTGGGTGGAGTTCCTGGTAAAACCCCAGGAGAAACCCATGGCCATCTTCGGTGCAGGTACCTTCTCACCTGCGATGCTCACATATGCTCACATATGCACACATGCTCTCAATCACCTCTCAGGCTTACTACGAAAGGGCAAAGGGTATTCTTGCCTGCAGCTTCTTCCTTCTTCTTCTTTTTAAGCGCGGCGAGAGCCGCCTGGACAAGACGAGCTCACTTGAGGCGGTGCGCCGCTCCGAGCTGCACTGCCCAGCCCCTCAAAATGCACGGCAGTGTTTCACATAAGTCAGTTGCATTTCGTGGCACTTGCAAGCTGCTGATTGAATCACTTTTCATGTCGAGCACGGTAGGCTGTACACCCAGCAGTGCGGATGCTATCAGCGAAAGGGGCAAATTGATCAAGAGATTAAGTAGTTAGAGGATCCCAAGAAATGAGGAAAGTGGCTCCTGTCGTGGCTCGTTTTGCCAAGGCAGGAGTTGAAGGGATAAGGAGCGGATGGGTTGAGGAGTTGAGCCTGAGCGAAAGCTGGAGCTACAGCAGCAGTTCTGCAGGCCGGAGCTGCAGCAAGCCTTGCTGCAGCCCTAGCCTAGAAAACTGCTGGAGCTCGGCAGTCACGTAGTTCTTTGGACAGCGCCAGTTTCTCAGAAAGGAGGACTCAGCCTCCTCGAGCCCATGCACTGCGTCAATGGGAGCTTATGTTCGAAAATTTGCCATTGATGGCTTGTGAGCTGCTGCCTTGGGTCAACAAAAAAAGCTGCCATCCACAGTGAATGAATTGGCACTGAAGCGAAGGGGATGATGCTAAATTACTAAACAGGCTCCACAGCGGAAAATCTTCAAATACCTGGCCTTGCAGCGGCGATCCTCTGCCTCTTCTGCTTGCTCACCTTGCAAAGATTTGCAAGAAAAACCTGCCAGGCGTCTCTTCGCGGACACCAAGTGGCCCGGAATCGCAACCAAGCTGCGTCGCAGGTCATTCAGGAGCTTCTCCAGGTTTCGAAGATGCTCCTGCATGCATGGCAGCGCTTGGGACTTGTAACAGAATGCCGAGCCCGACATTGCACGGATGCTGGTTCCAGAACTGAGCTGTCGGCACCAAATTCCTGCTCGAGCTCTTCTTCACCTTGGTTCTTGGCTGCAGAAAGACTCCCTCTCGTAATAGGACGTAATAGGTCAACTCGGAGGCCTGAACTACAAACTGTTGAAAACAAGCTTTTGCCTGAGCCGCTGCCTGAGCCGCAGGCTCCATTCCTTGTTTCCGCTCGGGGACGGCCGGGTCCATCGGCTGAACTCGACGCCTGGCATGGCTGCACGTCGTGCCGTCGTGCGTAAGTGTAAGCAGAAACAGTGAACTTGCGCCACTTCTGCAATATTGCAAGAACCTGGAGCTTGCACCATTGACTTCCCTCCCCCTCCCTCAGAGAAAAACACAACTGTGAAAATCAAATCGGGAATTGCCCGAGCACCCACGCCTTCACGCTCGAGGAGTCCCGTCTCTGGAATGTCGACCTTCGACATCGTCTCTTTCTCCGTCATGTGGCCTTGCGGAAGCTCCCGAGCAGGGTATGGCGGGAATGCTAAAAGTCGCGCGCAGGCCTGAGGCCAAACGAAGTGCTTGGCGAATGGGCATTACGGATGAGAGCTCCAGGCCCTGCAAGCAGAGAGGTGTGCCGCAGTCAAGACTCTCTGAAATTACAGAAGAACTTCTCTCACAGTGGCTGCGGCCTGTTGCGTGTGATTTTTGCATGGCTCCTTCAAGTTTTGTGGGCCTCAGGCCCTGGTCGTTGGGGCGAGCGCGGTTTCGAGAGCAAAAGATCTCGGGTTCTCAGAGGCATGGAGGCTTCTAGGGGCAGGCCAAGTACCTGTGCAACGCCCAACACAGAAGGGTCGTTGACCGCGAAAAGCTTTGATTACGTCTTGGAGGGCATTCCGAGGGCAACACCTCATAAGTCAACTCCAAGTCGTCAAGGGTGTCATCTTGCTCCTCCTGCTCCGCAACCACCTCTGGCTCACTGTCGCTGCCGCTGCTCATTGAATACTTCCTGCAGGTCAATGTTGAAAAGCATTGCGTGCATGGTCCAACGTGAACAAAGCTTGCAGGGGTTTGCCAATTTGAGTGCACACCGCCTTGCCAACTCTGCCACCGTCCTGTCATCCTCATTCGCGAGCAAGCACCGAGGATCTACGGTACTTTTCAGCGAGCGACAGAGGACGTGGAGTGATGCAAAAGGATAAAACAAACCCGTGAGCCCCCTGCCAAGCCCATATGGCTTATTCCGGTGAGCTCCACCTGGCACGTAGTCAGGGACACCTGCTCACAATAGCAGCTTGTTCTGCAACACCGGGCCTGTTTGAGTACCTTCCGGACATTTCCGAGGCACAGGTCGCAAGATTCAGCCAGCGAAAGTGCAGGGAGCCTTCCGCTCGATGGACGCCTTGATCTCGCCCTTCAGCAACGAAACCTGATTTCGCGATCGCGGAGCTGGCCAAAACTCTAGTGCCCAGTTTGCAGACGGAAAGTCCCACCTCGTGAAGGAGAGACTGCACCTCCTCCTTTTCAAGTGCCACTTGACATTCCAGCTGCTTCTTGTATTCCTGTGGTGGCTGCCCGTCTCGCAACAACTCTGGTGCATGCCATGTCATGTGAACCAGAGTGCAGCAAGCCTGAGCATCGACGATGCGTGCCAGGGCTTTGCGATTCTGCTCCTCGCACCACTCAAACATGTCATGCGTAGATCTCTGTACAGTGTCTCTTCATGAGTTTGTGCGCAAAGTTTATGGTCAGGGCATTTAGGGCTTCGTGGCAATTGCTCGAGAGGTCCGAACCCTGATTTTCGCAGGGCGTTTTGGAGTCATCAGAAGGACGAAGTAGTCTGTTTATCGGTTTTTCGGGATGCTGGGAGTTTCAGCGGCTCGTGCTGTCCCAATGAGGAGCGCCCTGACGATCTGAGCATCACGAGCATCTTTCATCTGTTGTCCTTTTCCTAGAACGAAAAGGCCAGCAAGGTACTGTTTTGCATGGCCCGTTCAGCGCCCTCAGGCCGTGGGCAAAACATAAGGACAGTTAAGCACATTTGAGCAAGTCTTGCGTCCCAGCATCGCGCTGGTTGAATCATGACTATAAGTGCCAGTATACTGGTACTATCTGAGACTGCGACTGCTGCCTTCTCTTCGTATCAGCTTTTGTTAACTTCCTAATCTTGTTCCGAGCCTATGTTCTTCGTTACTTGCTGCCCTGAGATCTGGTCACGACAAGCGGCGACAGTGTGGGTAGGAAGCGGCTGTTTCTTCCTTTTCTGCTCCGTTCGTGGGCAGGGAACACTCAGCAGGAAAGGGTTTCGAAGCGAGCTTCATTTCATTCCCTTTTCACCAATTTTTCCGAGTTTCTTGAGGGTTCCACAAGTGTTTCGGAGATGCCAAAGCCGTCCTGGCTGCTCTGCTTCTTTTTCGCATCCAAGTGGCACTTCTGCCGGAGTCGATTGGCCTCTGCGGGTCGTTGATTTGCAAACAGCTTGCGACCGATTTTACTGTCAAAAAAGAAAAGCCATGGAAAGCCCGATCCTCTGACTTGCTTGAGTCCAAGCCAACGCGTGAGGCCTCCACTCAAGCCATGGCTTCCATGTGCAGGAAAATTCTTCTCCTCTTCTTCGCGCCTCGAACCTGATTCGTTGTTGGGCGATGTCTGCTGCGGAGGACTTGTTGCGTCTGACCTGCCATCCGAAGCTTGAAAAGGAAAGCAATCGTCATTTCAAGTGTTTGCACCAGCAGGACTACACAGGCCACGGGCACCGAGTCGCTCTCGATCTGTTGACGCCTTGCGAGGGCCTGCTCTTAGCTACTCTAGCTTCGTTACCACTGGTTGTCCAGAAATGCCTCACAAAGTTGACCGAACCAGCACTGATGGAACAGGAGGCATGCACGAAGCCGAGCCTCATCTCGCTCCCTGATTGCTTCCTGGATTAAGACACGAAGCTTTGCCACCTCTTCAGACTCGTCCTCCGGTATTTCGCTTGTACGAAGCTTCACAAGACGAGTGTTCAAGTAGAGGGCACTGATCAGCCAGCTGCATTAACATGTTTTTGACTGTTTTTGTGCTTCTTCAAAAGCTTGCTTTTCGCAAGTCGCTGACAGAGGTGAAACGCTGCGAATGGGGAGAAAGAGGCGCGCGGCTTTTCACGCATCTCCGGGGGCAAAAGCTGAGTAGCCGGAGCGGCTCTTAAATGGAACCAGCTTCAGCGCCGGGATGGGAACCTTGCACGTCATCTCTTTTGCTTCTTTTTCTTCAAGATTCCTTCCTTTTTCTTACGATTTCTTACGTCATATCACGTCGCATGTCTCCAAAAGGTCGCAGGCAAAAATAGAGGGATGTGCTCAGCGCCTGGCCCAGCAATCTGCAGCAGCCGTGGGGTCCTGTCCATGGGAGTCTGAATACTAAGGGCGGGCAAAGCAGAGCCGAGGGTACGGAGGAGACCGGCATCTACCCATGGGCGACGGCCTTCCCGTGCTCAACCCCAAATTTCCAATTGTCGAGAGTTTTAGCCGGTGCCACAGGTGCCACTAAACGACCTTTCCTCCAAGAGGCTAAGCGAACTCTGGCAGGAATAAGCAATGCGGCCCCCATGGAAGCTCCGCAAAGAGGCAAGCTCAGCACTGCCACGGCTCTGTTTGATACGCCCCCTGATACACAAGAATTACCGCTCTTTGAAAAGGGGTGGGTGGTTTGATTACTCCAGACCACTGGCCCGCCTCCACGTTTGCGATCAACCGCGCCGCGACGGCGTCATCCCGACCGGCGCTGTGCAACTCGGCACACCACCGTTGGGGAAGGCTTGCAGTCAAAAAGAGACTTAAAAAGATTTTTGGCTTACCTTGTTCTATCTTGTCATTTGTGCCGCAGTTGAAAGAACTGACTCGATGGACCAAGCCCCCCACCGCGGAATCGATGACCCACGACGTCCGGTCTCTTGAGCGAAAAATGTGCCAGACCTCCATATCGGTGACGACGCAAGTGCTCTCTATGCTCCAGGAAGTTCTTCCTTCGCCTCTACGCTGCCCTCCCAGGGCTGTTGGGCCTCATTTCAGCTCTCAAGGCATCGCTTTGAGCATTGCTGTCTCAACTGTCGGGTGGTCTCCGTGTTACGAATTGTTTGGAAAATTTTGGAAATCGGATCTTCAGGATGGCATTTGAGTCGCAGGCCCAGCAAGGTGCACCATTGTGAGGTTCTTTGCGCAGGGCATAAACCTGTGAGTGGCCGGAGCTTGGCAAGTCATTGGGCAGCGGGCAGGATGAGGCATCGCATGTTGCACTGCTGACGCGTTGATATGGCGACTCTCCATGAGATTGGCTGTCGTGGGCAGACCTTGCCCGCATGCTACTTACATCACGCCCTCACTTCACTCAGCACTCTTTGCTACTGGAGCAAACATGTAAGCTCGCAGCGCCGTTGATGCCCAAGTGGTCGCCGTCTTTTCGCTTCATCATCCCAGACTGGCAGCACGTTGCCAGAAATGAGCTCTTGAGCTTTACGAACAAGACATAGACCACGAGGTAATTGCTGAAGCTTGTCAGTGTTGCCCGGGGCGACAGGGCAGGGTATGCTGCACGAGCACAGCAGCCCGTGACCTCGCATGAAGAAATAGACTCATAAACGTGGGCATTTGCCCCAGAAACCGAAAAGCTGACGGACCCTTTGCACGTTGAAAGCCAATACGTCGCGTCTGCTACGTTCTGCTACATTGCTCGTGCAGGTGAGACACAAAGACGCTTCCTCAAATACCGAGCATACGCGTGGATTTCCATACAAAGGTTTCAACAATAATGAGGAAAGCCGTCTATCGATCTTCGAATCATCGGTGATGCGTCTCTCCGGCTGTTCCTTTACGGTGAGGATCTGCCATGTTTGGACCAGTGTTACCTCAGCATCAGTCGCAAGCTGAGGCTAACTGGTTACGCAGTTGCACCTGCTATCCGCTGACCTGTCAAAATGCTGTGCCAAGTGGCCTCGAAGGGTTCTGCTGGTCTCTGCTGAGTAGCCTGAGAGCGGCCAAGCCAAGCCTAGTCTATGCTGCTCCGCATGTCCCCTCTGTGTGTGTGTGTGAGAATGTGAATCTGCATGAATCTGCAGAACCACAACATGTCCGTGTGTGTCTACTCTATTCTGACAAGAGGGTGGCGGACTCTCCCAAGCTCCGTGAGTTTTTAGGGCATGTTTCAGATTCCGGTTCTTTCGGTTCGCAGCAGCACGCGCCACCATGAATACGAATACTCAGGGAGGTTTCGCCGTAGTGGTGGTAGGGTTTCGCCGCAGTGGAGCCATAGTGCCAGTAGTGTTTCGTTTCCGTGGCGGTAGCCTTATGCCGTATGCAATGCTTATGTAATCTCAGACCTTAGATCTTTCCTGGTTTCTTGTTGGCGTCAAACATGCCAGCTGGGACCACCTACTTGAAAGGGGTGCCATGAAAAGCTCCATCGACCCAGCATGTGGCTGTGGGCTTGCCAGGCCAACGGTTCACATTGACCCGCTCCGAATGAAGACTTCTTGGCTGGCCGAAAACTTTCCGAGCAAGCGACAGAGCGCAAACCGCGGTGCTTTCCAGAACTCTTCATTCTCGGCTTTGGTACTGTTCCACTCCTGACCAGGGCAGTGACAGCTCAGAACCGACCGTAGACCTGGCATGGCATATTACTTGAGCCGCTTGAGCCCACCTGCATTTCCCGTTGGATGCGCAGTCTGGCCTGAAAGCGCTTCGTGTCAATTTAGCAGACATCTCGCATGACTGTGTCTTCTGCCTGCACTGATCCGCGCTGTGGCTTCTCCTTGGCCTTCTCCTTGCCCATCATGGCCTGATCTAAACATGGCCCCCATGGACTACCTGAGGTTGGTTGGCCTCGGGCACCCAAAGGGGAACCTGCAGCCCAACCCGCTAGGGATCTGGGGACCCCAAAAAGGACTCAGGGCTCACCCTCACGAATCGGGCCGGGCCAGGCCGAGGGGTGCCGTTTACAAGAAAGCGTCAAGATGAATTGTCTTTGTTTCGGTGTCAGGCCAAGTTGCAAGAACCTCCTTCTCGGTCATGAGTCCTGCAGCCGAGTCTGCTTGTGCTGCACATGCTAACTGAGCACAGCCCAGTTGGCCATACTGTGGACAGGGATGAGATGACTATGACTACACCGTATCCCCTTCGCTCGCCTGAGCTGCTTGATGCCTTGCGGGCTGCTTCGTCGTCCACAGGGACAGACCGCGACCGAGAGCGCTGCCTAGCACGACGCTGCGCGTCATGCTGCGCCAGTGTAATTTGTGCAGTTCGGTGAAGTTCGAGGAGCCAACTTAGAAACTTCGAATGCTTCGCGCCTCTTGCGCTGGTGCTTCTCCGATTCTTCAGACTTCTCCTCCTCCTCAGTTGACAGTGTGTAGATGCTGAAGCCACAGGGAGTGGCGGATACCCGGGCTAGCCTTATACGAAGAGAATGCGAAGCAGCAAAGCTCTCAGAGCAGGCGGCATCATCCCCTCGTCGGCGCTTCTTCTTTTTCTTGTGATGCTTTTGATGGGTCTGCTGTTCCTCGCCACCACGGTGTCGGGAAAAGGCTTCCACGTCGGTTTTCACCCCACGGCTGGCCTGAGTCTTCTTCTTCTTTTCCTCCTCATCTCTTCGCCTGGATGAACTTAGGGTGAATTTTCCTTTCTGATGCGCTTGGGTGGTTCGCCGGTAGACCGGAAAACAATCTTGACAAGACGAGGCTCCAGTCTGTGGATGCAGGCTGTCGTGGCAGGCTCTGCCACTGGCCAGTCTGACTCGTAGGCTCCGGCTCCGCTGCAGCCTGACTCAATTCAACCCGGAGACTCCTGGAACCACCTTATCACTTAGAAGTGAGAAGAACATAATAAATGATACGTAAAGATGTAAGTAAATCATCTTTAAAGTGAAACATGGACTTCGCCTGGGCAGTGGCCGGCGCCTCCGTTGGCTCCACCGGCTCCGACTCCGGAGCCGAAGTGGCCTCTGACTCTTCGAATACTCAAGTGAGCATTTTAAAAGCAGAGAGGGGTTTCCATATTGCAAGAGTAAATTCCAAACTTGCATATGCTTCCTCTCCCCACTGCACTTGGCGTCAGATTGTCAAAGAGCCCTGTCTCCTGTTGAGTTCGGGAATCTCCCATCTGACTTGGAGTCTGCTCGACAGCTCCAGAAGGCTGGCACATGCTCTGAGCACGAGGCCACTTTTTGTAGCGGATCCACCACCTCTTCACGTGCCATCACCTTGCTCTATGTCGCGGCGGGTCATGACCGAACAATGTACAGTAACTTCCAGACGAGTTGTCGTCCTGATTCGGGCTTGTATGGGCTTGTGTATGGCTGTTGCGAACCCTTTTGGTGCTTTCACAGGCCGAGGAACTGGTCCCAAAGGGGCTAGACCGGCACGCTTCTTCTGCTTCTTCCGCTTCATCTCCTGAACTTGCAGTGTAGGACTTTAAAGAGTTTCCATTAGCTTCCACCTCGTTGCAGGAACTGCTGCACCTTCTGTACCCGCACTTGAATAGAGCGTCCTCGAGCATTTCCTGCTCCAGCTGTTCCTCCTTCTCTTTTTGCTCTCTTAACCGCGTCTCCAGGTCTCGAACCCTTATGCGCATCAAGTGGTGCAACAAATGCACGAATGCACGGCAAATGGCAAATGACAGGAGAGCGAGCAACTCGCAATGAGGTTCTTCTGCAACCAGGCGGCCTTCTCATTTTTTCTAATACGTTGCCGCTGCCCTGTCAAGGCTCGCACCAAATGCGATTAACAACATTGCATCGAGACTTTCTGCTACTTTCTGTTTTCACGACGCTACAAAACGCGCATCGGGAAGTGTAGAAAGCATTGGTGCTGGTGAAGGTTTGAAGCCTCCAGTTTCCATTGGCTTCGAGCCCGCCCGCTGTGATTAGCTTACTGTCACTGACGTTGAGCCCTGTTCTTGTTGGTGGGCCCTGACCCATGGGGCCCGCTCTAAAGAAAAGTTTGCCCGCGCAGTCAGGACCCGACTGGTCTGGGGGAGTCCGGAGCAAGTTGTCTGGATGCCGGCCCTGCTAGAAACCCAAGAAGCCTTGGCTGAAAGTACCCTGCCCTCAAAGCCTCTGAAAGCCTTTCTGAAGTGCCGCTATGCTTCTGCAAGATGCTAAGCATGTTCTCCCCGCACCTTCCCCAGATGATCCCGCGGTTGCCCAGTGTGCAGTTTGGATTGTTCTGCAGGGCTGTGTAAGTCTGACAAGTGCGATCTCTGCCACTGGATTTCAAGCCCTTTTTGTGCCACAATACACTGGACAGCCAACATCAACCATCCTCCTGTCGGTGTATGTCGAAAGTGGCCCAACACGCTGGTTTGTCGGTCAAAAGTAGTCACGCAGCCACGCCACACATCAAGCATGCAAGCCCGCACTGACCGGCAAGGAAACGGTGTGCATGCATTCTCCGTGCAGATGCCTCTGACAGCAAACGTTGTGCAAACATGACCCAGACTTTGTTCAGGCGCTTTTGTTGAGAGCTCGTCGATCTTGCTCGAGGGAAATTTCTGCAGACGTCGGTACTGGGCCTCGCCAGCATCCGCATCGCGTTGGACGCGATCATCTCGTAGATTCCGGTCACGCTGTGTGCGCCTTCGATGTCATGTCGCACACTGTTTCTAGTGGGTCAGAGCTTCCTGTCACGTGGCGGTTCTAGCTTGGAAATAAGACTCTAGTGTGGACAACGATCGGAGATGGGTGGGGCGTGCTACTGTACGATGTGACCCGGCGGCTGAGAAAGCCTTATGCGTTCGGTCTCGAAGTCGGCCAGTGGTCCGATCCTGAGCGCTCCCAAAGATGTGGCGTGTCTGAAGACTTTCACGCTGTGGAAGAAGAAGCTGGGACCTGTACCCGAACCTCTTGTACTTCAAGAAATTCCTGAAACGCAGATTGCAAAAGCTAGGTCTACGAAGCACCGCGTCGACGCATGAAGGGCCGATGTGGACTCTCCAAGGTTAGCAGTGCGCACATGTGATTATCTTCCTTATGACTCTTGCATGTCGGTTTCTTTCGACTATACCGGACTGGCATGGGGATGTGATGCCATGATCATGCGATGCCCGGCGCCTGGCAACAGGCTCACTGCAGCCCATGTCGGTGCAGAGTCTCTCGACCGCATCCTTGTTCCTGGCATCCCTCGGAGTGCAGTGTGCTATGCACGCGAGCACGCGAGTGCTATGCATCCCCAGTATTCATTGAAGACTACGTCTGCAAGAATGTGTGACGCTTCTGCCTCTCGTTGCGGTTGAAGGTCACCAAGTCCCGACCTTGCCGCATGTCTCAGCTGGTCTGTTAAATGCCATCGTATGGTGGCCTGGTGGCATCGCACTGCAATCCCATCACACTGCAATCCCAGAGGCTCATGGCCCGCACCTTAGCGCTCACAGTAGAAGGGAGCAGTGGCCCACAACACACCAAGGAGCGCCTTCCACCGTGCGCAGTCAGAAGCGTCCCATGGACAGGTGACAAGGGATGCCAAAGGTACTGCAATGTACTGCTCACCCTGGAAATCCGAAGTCAGGGGGCTTCTCAGCGCTGCCTCTGGAGGTGGGTATACAAGGGGCCAAAGCCGGTGACATAAATCTTTTGGAACTCTTGTGATGCAGGTTTCGTGAAAGAATAAACACGAAGCATTGGTAATCGAAGCCTTCGTGTCGATGCATAAGTACACGTACTATGTACTTCAAGCTATGTCGAAGTGAGCCAGTGGCTGTGAAGCATGGCTGTCAATGGCTGTCACAGCTGGTTTCCGAATCTTAGGTGGATGGTATGTTACGGGCATGTTGGCAAAGCGGGCACGGGCCACCTCAATGAGCTCCGGCACCCTTGGCAAACCTCAGCAAACATGAGCCGTGTCGGGGAGCTCTGTGACACACACGATGATTGCATGAAATACCTGGAGCCCCTGGCTCGCTCTCGCCGGCGTGGCGCAGGTCTCGATCTCATCCAAATCTACCTGCCAAATCCACTTCCGCACCTTTCTGCACACGTTCCTCTGCAAAGCGCGCTTTCCGACATTCCGTTTCGGGGCCTCCAGGTCCAGGTCACCCTGGCATGGGCCTCTGGAGCTTGGGAAGATGCACATCGATCGGCTCTTTTGGGCTTGACATGGCTTGAGTACTGCATTACTGCGTCTTTGCATGTCTTTGCTGCACCTGGGTCGGTGATGGCAGTGTCGGAGTCAGGCACCGGCGGGGCCTCAGCGTGAAAGGGCCGGAAGACGAGAAAGGATGCTTGTAGGGAGCAGTCGCTGCCTCTTCCACAGAAGCACATCGCAGGAAGTATCGCTGTTTGCAGTCCATTGCATGGCAGCACGCAGGGCGTGCGAATTGCTTCGATACTAGCTCTGATACACGGATGGGGTTTTGTGGTTATGGTCGGATGGTGTCCCTCTAGCAACCCGGACGAGTTACCAACAATCTCGCTAAGATCAGCTCTTGGCTCTTGAGAAGCAATTTGGAAAACAGCAGAACAGCAGTATGCATTGATCAAGCGGCACCTTACTGCTTCGGCAGTTATCGCTTTAAGGCTTTCGTCCTGTGCAGAACAGGGAAAGAAGAGGTACATAAGAAACTCATGGCGCATCCATGTACTTGCATCATGCGCTAGCTCTCTAAATCCTCAAGATATATTAGCCTGGAAGGGACGATAAGAGATGACTACCCATGCAATCATCCCCTGTCACTTCGAGCTCTTCTCTTATGTTGGCGAAGAACTCTCCCTGGCCCCCAACTTGGGTCACCCTTGCCTTCTCCGCGACACTGTGCGCAGGAGAGTTCTCTTCCTATCAAGGCACATATGCACCCGTACCAAGCCATCGCAACTCACGATGGCAAGTCATTAACATGCCACCGCCTGCGAAGCATCTCCTCCAAGCAGCCAAAGGCGGCGCATCAACTGAGCACAGGCATCACAGATTATCACAACATGCCACTGTGCTACCGGGGCTTCACAGAACATGGGATCCACAGAGCCGGTCGGACACTGCCTGCCTCCCTGCACCCCCTTTTCATGCGGCCCCCCTTTCCCCCCCCCCCCTCTCCACCTTAAGAAGACTTGTAGTGTTTCGTGTCAACCCCCTAAGTGATTGTGCCAAGGTCTCTGAGAAGGGAAAAGGACAGGGTGAGAGCTGGGCAGCTGACCTTCTGCTGAAGTTCGTGTCCGGCCATCATCTTCCCCCGCTTCGACAGCCCTACAGGAAACCCTGGCCAGTTGAACATGCATCGTTTGCCTAAAGTGCAACCCCCCTAGTTCAACAGGGGCATGGCAAACCTACACGGAGGTCATAAAGTGTCTTCTAAAATTACGGGATATTACGGGGTTGTTATCTTCCTATGACATCTTGCAACAAAGGCGATTCGAGGCTTTGAGCCGCAGTTCTGAACAGCCTGAGGTTCGATTGGCTGAGCACAAAGCAGCACCCGAGAGAGCCCAGGTCCCTAGAGCCTTACCACAAGTTCCCCAAAGGATTGGGGACATGAAGCTGTGGAAGGCGGGCTCCCCCCCAAGAAACAAAACTGGAGATTAAAAAGGATGGGGTGAAGAGGACTGAAGAGCTCCGGAGATGGAAGCGAGTGAGAGCTCCATAGGTCGTAGGCGAAAGAGCACAAGACCGAGAGGCAGTGCAGGGTTGCTCCACGCGGCCATGCCGGCGCCGTACTACAGCACTCTTTGGCACCTCCCCAACCGCCCAACCGGTGCAATAACTTGCCAGATGAAGGTCGGCATGCGTGGCGGAGCAGTGCTGAATGAGCAGGAACACACAATGGATCCGAACGTGAACATCTTTAGGTCTCTGTCCCATGCGGGAAGTTGAAAATTTATAGTCCAATGGACGGTTCGAGCAGCAACTAATGCATATGCGACCTGGCTGATCATGCAATAACCTTTGTACAACAACTGCCCCAACAATTCACGACTTCCGAACAGAGTGCCAGGTCTGCTGAAAATCAGTTTCATGTGCAACCTCTGTGCCAATGAAACTCCTCGATGCAGTTTAACCAGACACGGATCAGTAGGTCAGCTTGAAAGTGTCGATCGCAATCTTATAGTCGTCACCTTGGGCAACAAACGAGCTTGAAGACATGCTTCAGGGCTAACCAATGTTAGAAAGCACTCGGCCAAAGAAGCACGTCTGTGGTCTAGTCATTTCCCTAGCCATCGTCTGCAATATGCTCCACGTGATTATGGTACCAAATGTGCACACTATGCTTCGGAAGCCCTGCATGGGGCCGGCACCACGGACCGGCCACCTGTGGAAGGGCGGCTCAAGTCATCACGAAGCTGACAAGCATGCGCAGGGCTTCGCCTGTTCTCCTCTGAGGCAATGGTCAGCACGAATTGCTTTTTTCTGGCCACGACTACCGCAGCCTGCCGGTTGGTTGAAAATGGGTTGACGCCCGCATCCGATGCTTGACACTGCAGCAACTTCTACAGCAACAGCCACCAACAGAACAGCAACGAGCTAGATGCGAGCCTTGCAGTGAAGTTGAAACTTCTTCCTGCGGAGCTGCCTTACGCGACTTTCACGCACTTGGTGAAGCTTGCCAGGTTCATAGGTTCATGCTTTGCCCTCCTGCCCTGCCCTGCCTCGCCATGGCATCGTCAAACTTCCACTGATAAGCGTACCTGAGACAGCCAGAGCTCACACCTTTACAGGGACTCCACGGCTGTGGCTATAGCGTTGTGGAGTCTCACACTCTGCGGCCGAAGAGCTCAACATAGTCGACGCGGTGACCAAGCTCATCTTGCTTGGAGGACACGGAGATGATCTCCTCAGAATATCCCAACACACAGCCATCAACAGCCCACTCGATTCACAGTTCTAGTGGCGAAAGAACACTGTCCTGAGGGGCCCCTTCTGGGACAACATCCTTCAGCAGCTTCTCGGCCACCTCACCAAGGCCGAGACTTGATTCGACTGCCCCAAGGCTCACCATGCTCTCTGACTCCAGAGCGCCTGACTTGAAAATCCCTGAAGACTCTGAAGACTGTTTGGCCTTTTTCTGATCCTATCTGCAGCTGTCTTTCAGCACACAGCTAGCTGCGTGCTCAGCATTGCTAAGCATTTCCAGGCCGACGGTGCTGCCACACTTTGGTAAGGCAGGAGAGGCCCATGGTGAAGGCAGATGCGCGTCACCGCCAGGTGAGGGGAGCCACGATTTGCCCGCCCTGTGTTCGGATGCCCCTCATCAGCTGCAAGGGTTCCGACTGCCTCCGAGACTCGAATCATGGCTGCGCCCAAGAGAGTGCAGATACTTTCAGAAGCTGATGACGATGTAATAACTGGGCGTGCACAATGGAGCTTTCGATCTTCAGGCGAGGAGCAGCTTCCAGATAAAGGTACGTCCTGTCAGGCTTTGCACAAGCAGACGTTGGGTTCCACCTGGGCCTGTCTGTCATTGCTGCAAAACCTTCGAACGTCCTGGGGGAAATGAAGCCAGATCCCCGGGCAACAGAGTTACTGCCTCGCCACCCTGTCGGGAATCCAGCCCGCACTCGAGCATGTGGATGCTGCTCTGAACCATCGGTCGCCCCAAAAGTATCGAAACAGCTATTGCAGCAGAAAGAGGATGCAAGTCCCAAGATGTCCCAAGACTGCCTCCGGAGTCACTGTGGCCGATCCAGACAGGACAAAGACCTCCGGCGCCGAGGCACATTCCACAAAGAGCTGTCAGTCGGGCCAAGAGATCAAGGCAAAAAGTCAAAAAGGTATAAAAAGGTCAAGGAAGGCACCGTCTCAGGATCTGCGTAGGTAACCTTAGATGCACAAGCAGGACCTGTACACCCGGCCGGGAAAGGCGGCTCAAAGAGTGTAAACCGTGTAAACCCCAATGAACTCAATTTTACGGTTGCACCCTGAAGTTGTCGAAGGCGACCCTGTGTGACATGACTCCCTCAAGCACCGCCGCCCGCGGCAGGGTTTGCATATGGCCATATACACGTTACACATGTGAACGCCGTTCCCCAGAGGCCCTGTGTTGGATTCGTGCAAATCAGTGCACGCAGCCCTAGTCCCACACTCCCGAGTTAGCAAGTGGAGTGGAGGGGTCTGGACAGCTGAGACTTGGTCGATGTAATGAGGACAATACTTGGCCTTTACTGCGTGTTTTTACAAGGACGATACTTCCGATCATAGTTGAAGCGTATCTTTCTCAACAGTGAGAGGACGAGAATCGCGACACAAAACAGCGATGCACATCTGAATCATGTAAACACAAGAAAAGACGCCTCAAACAAAACATACGTTTACGCCATGTCAGAAGAGGACGCATTTCCCAATTGAGTGAAAGTAGTGATTGGCCCTTTCCGCACATCCAGCCCTTCAACACACGGCGTTGCACACCGCACACCACACCAGCATCGCTGTCGGGAAGCCGGCCATGTTTCTGCAAGTCCTGCGTCGCTTTGCCAAGAGGCCCATCGGGAAGTGCCCAGTTCCTCCTGCAAAGCCAGTACAGAGCAGAACTTACGAACGTTTAGGCAGCAGCTGTGCACGCGGCATCCCAGCCAACATCAGTTCGAATACAAAAGCACCGCCAGCGGCACCTGTCTCTGTTGGGAGATTTGCCTCTCCACCAGAATGCCTGGGACTGAAACAGCAGAGCAGCCACACGCAAACTAGTCACTTGTGTAGGGCACTGTTGGGCCCCTGCCCTCAGCGCCCCCTCCGCCTCCACCCCTTCGTGAGACCAGCGGCCTGAACGGCAGTGGCAGGGAGGAACCAAGAGCCACACAAAAAGGCTGAACCAGAGCCCTACAGTATCATTCGAGCTCGCAAGCCCGAAAGCCTCAACCACCGACACGAATCGTGAACCCCCGTTCCCTCGTCATGTCCTCTCCACGTACACTGCAACTCTTGGAGCGCCTGACGGACAGGTTGAGCACCCTGCCAAGAACGAACGCCTGCAGCGCGCACGTTGCGCGGGATGTGCACGGGATATCACGGGATGTGCAGGAGTTAGGGGAAGTTGGTGAATCCCCAAACAGGAGAGCTGTATGCAGTTCCCCGCTGAGCCACATACTGCCTCGCTGCGAGCTGCAAATGCCTCGGTAGTTGGGGAGTTCTTCCTGGAGTTTTGGCTTTGGTGTTTGCCAGCCATGACACCAACAGCAATCACCTTAGCCCTGGGAGCCCCCACCACTGACAGCCAGAAGAGACAGGTCACAGCTCGGCCTGGTTCTCAGCAGGCTTGACTCAAGTCGCTCTCTAAATTATGAGAGTTTTTTGTTGCTTTACGGTGCCACAAGAGACCCCCAAAAGAAAGCATGACTTGGCCATTTGTTCATGTTCTCCAAATGCTCCAGAGTACTGAAGCAAACTGCAGCATTCTCTCGCTTGCACTGTGCCCCTTCATCCGGCGCCTCGGATCAGGCCTAGACGTCGAGGAGCCCGTGCCATAGCCACAACACTTGAGGTGTTCTTGTTTTCTTTCCAAGCTAGCCAGCTGCGGCGATAGCAAGTGCAAGTACCGATGCAATGTTGCGGCCCTGACAGAACATTGTTCGCTGATGTGCATGCCCACATCCAGCTGAGGTGCTCGTCATTGTACTCGTCGACTTTTGAGCCAACTCTACAGCTCGCCCGGCTCGCATATGCTTGTAGTCCGAGAGAGCCGCACTACATCGGCGGCTGGGTCTCCATACTCCAAAGTGAATCAGATCGTGTAAATGAAAAGAAACTTGCTCTCAGCTGCCTCAGTTGTGAAATCTTAAATACTGACTGAAATGACGATCGTACTATCGCAGTCATCCCGACCTCCTGCGGCGAACCGACGTCATCCAGGCTGTTGCGCTGCGTGGGGACGATCTGCAACGAAGAAGCCAGCAAAGATCATACAGACACTTTACAAGAAGGGGCCGCCTTAACGCCGATGTACTCGAGAGGCTCGAGGATGTCTCGGTAAAAGACATCGTAGCCCTTAAGGGTGGACCTTGGCACAGGCCCCCTTAGCTTGCATCTTGCCGTGGTACAACCATCATTGCGCCCATTGACGCTTTGGGCTGTGGGCTTCTGCGGGCCAGTGGGAAACGTAAACTCGTAGCCCTGGTTGGTATCCACCCACCTGTGGCCGAGAGCAGAAGTAGGTCAACGCGCCTCCACAATCCAACGACAAGTTCATTCCCACTTTGACAGCAGCTGCCCTGTAGGAGGGGGGCGTCTCGGCTAGCGCCGGCGTGGCGGTCAGGGCAGTGCTTAGCCCAAGACCTTGCTAAACACAGCATGCACTTTGCAATGGATTTGAGATCCCGATCAACGGAAACTGCGTGATATGTGTGATGTGGATTGTTCAGTCTGTATGCGAGTGGCTACAGTAGGAGCTGCCTTAAACCTGCCCTGCCTGTCAGCAACTGGCGCCGTGGGACCTCCTTGGCTTCCTCGGGTCCCCTGGCTTGAAACAATGCTGAAACAATGCTGCAAAAAGCCCCCAGAAAGCGGAGGGTCGACGCCCAAAGCGAACCTGGTGGAGGCGAAGGCTGCACCAGCTCGGAGTGCCACCAGCAGACCTGGCACAGAAGAAGCTCGTGAGCATGATCTCGGAAGCAATTTGCTTTCAAAAGTGGTCAGTGGATCTCAGTGGGTGTGCAAATGCGCAGCACGTCCAACTTCAGTAGGAGCGACCCAGCGAAACCAGGAGAACGCAAGCACGGTGAGCGCGCCTGACCGGCCCAGAGTGCCCCAGAGTGCCCCAGGGTGCGCGCAGAGTGCGCAGAGTGTTCAAGGCCGCCCCTTATACGCTTTTGTCATTCTTTGCCTGCGACCGTTTTATGCGGTGGGAAAACAAAAAACTGCAGTGCTCTTGAGGACTAGCTGCGCGGATTATGGAGGCACCTGTCGCGGCATCGGACACTGCCAAAAAAGTTCTGCGTGAGTGGGCCTCTCGCCCCTGGGCGATGTGGGCATGACCTTCGGAGCGTGATGAGCCCAGATCATACTAACAAGCAACATGCAAGACAACGTAAGGCAACGTGGCTTGAGAAGCAAAGACATGTCTTGAGAATGCATTGCCTCCTCTGCTGGGCCCAAGCAAACCTCCACAACTGGTCGAGCCAAGGCTGGCTTCATCAATCTCGGCCGGATTTGCCGTGTGCATGTGCAAGCCAAGCCCTCTTTGCTGGCAAAAAAGATCCATAGGAATCTTACGGCTCGGACCTCGACGACTTGTTCGTGACCGCTCGAGTCCCGTCTACAGGCTGTCATGTTGTAGCCGAAAATTAAGCAAAGTGAGACGGTGGGGCCCTTTGCGCGCTGCAAAGCTGCTTATTGAGAAGTGGCTTTTGCAGCCTCTGCCAGCTTCGTGAGACGAAAAGAGTGAACGACTGAACAAGTACTGGAAAAAAACAATGCCGCGAGGACTTGCTGGCAGGGCTGCATGCCAACTTGAAGTGTGCATTAACACATTGACATGAGGTCCGCGCTGCTGTTCAGCAGGAATCAGAGGAGATCACAATCAACTATTGCAGCAACCATTCAACTATCAGTAACTGGTCGGATCAAAGGGTCTGATTCAAAAAGGTCATTTCTTCAGGACCATCCCGCCCAAAAGGGGATATCCGGGGTATCCATTGCGGGAGCAGGTTTTCCAGAAGAACACCCCCAAAGCCCTCGACATCCGCTGAGGCCTCGCCAGATTTGCCTTTCTTCCTGTTTTATGGCTTTTTTGCCCACACCCCTGCCCTTTTTCCTCCCCCAACAGTACATCCATTCCCTGACCCTGCACTTCCGCCCAGCCCTCCAGAGAGCTAACATGGAAGTGGCGACCTTGCCTCGCCCCTGGCGTGGCCACAGGCCCCGGCCGAGGCGGGTCGCATAGCAATAACATGTCAAAGTTAAAACACATGTTTTGGAGCCCCCCCCCCCCCCAAAATGTTGGGGGGGGGGGGGGGGTGGTGGGGCGGGTGGGCGGGGGTGGGTGGGGTGAGGGCCCCTATCCCTGGTCCTGATGCACCGTTTGCTCCCGGACACTTGTCGGCCAGGGGGGGTACCATTTCAGGCCAAAAAGTGCAAAATAAAGGGGCGCAAACCTGTCCACAGGCTGTGGGGGGGCATTAGAGGTGGGGTGCCTGCTTTGTGCTACCCACCTACGGCCCAAGGCCTCAGCGGATTTTAACGCTACGCGACCCGCCTCGGCCTGAGCTTCTGTAACATACAGGGGGCCCCAATGAAGGCCCAGAACCGGGGGGGAAAGGCGGGGGTACTGGAGGCGTTTTGAAGTCTGCAGTTCCGCAATGCTTTTTCTGGCTACGCTGCCCTGAGCTTCCACCTTACACTGCATGGCCTGACCTTGAGTCTCTGCAGTGCTTCTTGTGGCTGCGGCGCTCTGATCTCCAAGCGCGTTGGGCCGAATTGCAAAGGACCGGTGGCTCAAGGGTTGTAAGGACTCAAATGATTAAGCTGCAGTAAGGGACTTTGGGTTTCTCAGCCACTACAAAAACATCAAAACCACCCCCTCTCCCGCTCCCTCCAAAAGGCTCAGTAAGTAGGTTAAGTCATTTAAGTCACGATTAGTGATGAATTAAGTGGTTTTATGAGTTTGAGTCAGTGGAACACCGCGATTCCTTGCCACTTCTCTTGCAGAATCGGTGGCCAAATAAATTGCTCCTGATCTACCCCTTTACGGAGCGACCCCCCCCCCCCCCTTCTCCGTGTTTCTTCGGGGCTGTTTTGTCTTCTGGGTTATCAAACCTGGGATTATTATTGGCAGATTGGCAAGCAATGCAAAAATGACGGATAAACTCGCATAGGCTGCTGAACGGCATGATCGCGGACTCTCTTTACATATCTTACACCAGCCGCCATTAGAGGCTGCATCAAACTTACAGAGCCAGGTCATGGCACGATTTCAGGCCATCCCGCCGTCTTCAGCATCCGGGCGCCTTGCACGTACAGGGACGGCACTCAACGGCATCGCATGAACAGACGGAGGATGGACAAACCGCCTCATTCCGTGCTTCACTTCCGGAAGAGACCTCGGAGGCCACTCAGCTTGCACAGATTTGTACACTGTGGACATCACTTCGCAGTGCAGTCGCAGTCCTCAGTGACCTCAGGCACCCACCAGGTCTGGTCTTCCGAGGATGCTGAGTCCTCCTCGCCGGGTTGCCTGGATGCAACAGCTTCTCTGCGAAGGTTCGCAAAAATGGAGCCATATGGCACTCAGGAAGCGAGAGCAGAATGCCACAGGGTTTTGCGAGCGTCTGAACACATAGGAACACATCTGAACAGGGTTGAGACCGACTCGGGTCGAAGAAGCCGAGGCCAACCGTGAAAGTTTCCTTAACACCTGGTGGCCTCTGCAACACCCATTGGCCGGAGATGTGGTCGTACGAGAACCTGTTGAGCATCGGCAGGAGGGACGTGCATACGAAGCAAGAGCAGATGCTCACATGTGTGGCTGGGCGAGTGGCTGGCTCGTGTCGCCAAGGTTCCTCAGTCCACAGCTGAGACGACAGACTTGTAGTGTAGGATGAACACAACAGCAACTCCAACAGTCTGTGAACCAGTTGTGAGCAGAGGCTCGTCTTCTTCTCGCCTAAGACACGATTGGCCAGCCATTGGACGCTGCGAAGCAAAGGCCTCTGTCTGTGCAGTGGTCACCCCTTCCATATCCTTGCATTCCCTTCTGCAGTATGCCGCCAGTATGCCCCTCCGCACGCCTCGCAGCTCTCACCACAACAAGAGCCAAGGAAGGCGAATCGTCCTATGAGCAACAAACGGCGAGGACATAGTATATACATCTTCTTGACATTCAAAGTCCATGGTTAGTTGCATTTGCAGCGCTTCACTCGGGTCTCCTCTCCCGACGTCTCCTCTTGCTCAGGGCTGGTGACCTGGCATAGTGCAAGTTGTGAGTGTGGGTGGGGGGCGGGGGAGATGCAAAGAGTGGGTCCCGCAACAGCGCAACCACTCTGCACCTGCTCTCTCGCGCGGGCGGCAAGGGCACGGCGCTCGCGCCGTGCCTCACGCGCGGCGTCGGACTCAGACCTCTCGGTGGCTCGAAGTTGAACCAAGGCAAACAACTCCACACAGGTGGTGGAGTATGCGTTTTCGCCAATTGGGCCCAGGCTGTTCGAGCTCTTCATCTGCAGGGAAATGCGCAGCGACAGGTCGCTCATCGGCTTCTGTCCATGCATCGTGATTCCTGCCTTCGAGGCGTTGCAGCAACTGTAGGGCTTCTTTGGAAGGAGCTCGCTCTGCCACCTTCATTACGACACTGCGCCATGCCGCGAAGCGTCAGGAACTCACGATATCTCGAGTCTCTCATCGACACTGCCTTTGCACCGGAACCAGTAAACGTCATGATGCACACGAGTCTTTTCTGCTTTCTTGCCAATTCCCTCTTGAAGGGCACCAGCGCATCCATTAGCTTCAGCACAAGGTCCGACCCGTGCTGTTACAGCTGCCTAGCTTCGACTGAAATTTCATTCCAATGCATCGCTGCATCTCAACTTTTGCGAGTGATGATCAACATCCTCGCTGACCAATATGTTGTGGGAGATTGGAGGCTTTGAGGGGTTCAGCTGGAATTGCGTGCATGACACACCGCGACCCTCTTGCAAATAAAGGCCTCTGACTTTGTGTATTTTTCGGATACAGTGACGAGCGCCCTTGCCGATCATGCAAAGAGGTGCGAGCAGAGGCTGCTTCAACTGTCAGAGCTGCAGTGACATCAGCGTCATGTCTCCTGCAAAGTTTGTTCAAGTATGTTCAAGTGTCCTATTTTGTGCGTTCTTCCCTCAAAGCTCCTTGCACGCATCAGAAGCTGGTCTACTACCAAGTCTTGTCCTCCTCTCTCATGCGCCACAGCCGAGCTCGGCCAACCTGTCGCGTGCGCCAGAGTTCTGGGTTGGTGTTTGTTTTCGGCGGAGGCTGTCGAGTGCCTGATCGCCTGAGACTAGCTGCAGGCTGTCCGGAGACCAGGCCTGGCACAGTCTGGGCATGCTCAGCTTCAAGACAGCTTCAACTCAACCCTCACATGATGCTGGGCATGCCGGCCAAGGACCAGATCTGATGGGAATGGCCATGGAGGGTTGCTTCCAGGGTCCATCCGCCATAAACAGTCCTCGATACACAATATGCGAATATGCCGGCCTTGGGAACTGTATTGGCGCAAGGGAGAACGAAGCACAACGAGTCACTAGGGGTGGCACGGATTGTTCAACCAAATGCGTGCCGAACCGTCTGGGCTGCCGGTTACGATCTGGCACGTGCAGACATTCGTGCTGCCGGTGATCAACGCACTGGAAAGGGCGTTAACACACAGCCGGCGAGCACCCTTTGTCCGTCCGGGGACCAGCGAGCGACATGGATCGGCGACCAGTCATGAATCCACCCTTGGACACTTGCAAGGCATACAGCGTACGGGCTCACTTGCCTGTTCCAAGCCTACATAAAACTGGGCTCCGAGGCCCATGTTGGAGTCCGGATGCAGGGTGTCAAGGCGAGCCGGGTTCACAGGCGAACGCAATGCTGTGTTCGTCCTCAGCTTCGAGCTGCTGGCTTCGTGACAAGCACATGCCCCATTGTGATCATTATGCCCCCCACATGCCATGGCCACCATAAGCCGCCAAGCTGCAAGTTCGGTGGCAGTTTCATGCCGTTTGCTTCCGTCAGGAACCCCTGCGCATGCCACTATTCCATATCTCCCTACGTGACACTTGGGTCGTTCAGTTCAGGCATTTGAAGGGCATATGGCGTATTGCAGTACCTGGACCTGTACATTCAAAGCTTTACACAACCTTCATGTTCAACAGCTCAGCATCTGTTATCTGTTTGATGCCGGCAAGTGCCATCTAAGGACTCCATGACACTCCATGACACTCCATGCGGCGCCTTTGGCACCCAGTCACCGTCCACAGGATGCCTTACCGCTCGGCGAAGCCGGCTCGACAGCGGAACGCTACGACGCTACGAACACCTGACCCTGTGGGCCACGCCAGATGTAGGCGTAGCCTTTGCGGCCACTGGTCAGCACCTTGGACGAAAGATGAGTGGCCTTACTGCCCTGTTATAGCAGTCGTACATCCAAGCTTCGCCTAACGACTTCAAACGCAAGCCAACATGAAAGACTCAATTGCCCCCAAGCACGTACTGTCCATCTGGAGACCAGGCAACAGCCCGAACAGCCTGATGCTCCATGGTGGCAGCGCCGAGTCAACATCAAGAGCACAGTAGCCGACCTCACTGTGCACCTGCTTCTTGGTGCGAAGATTCCACCTCTGCCGGCCTTCCCATCCAACAAGTACAAGAAAAACAGTGCTCTCACGCACGGGCTCATTAGGGAGCACAATGCTGTTTTTTGATGCTGTTTGTTTCCCACCCTCAGTGTGGAGCCATTCTGGCCTACAACGCGCTGGGTTTGTGCTGGGTGCCCAGGCCACTGCCCTGGAAGTCCCGGTCGGTGAGGGTCCAGATGCGGGCTAGGCCATCGCTGCCACCGGTCCTCAGAAGCCGCTCGAGGCCCAATGTACAAACTCCTACTACCTGCCAAGATTATGCATGCACATATGTATGTGATAAACATATACTTATGTATGTATATGCGCACATGCTAAATATGAGGTGAACCTGACACGCGCATGCGCGATCATGTTTTGCTCATCGGCCATGTTCGCGTTGCTCTCTCTCTGCTGGGCCGCCCGCAGCAGCTCGCGACCATCTGGAGACCAGCGGACGGAGACCATCAGGTGGGCCACCCCCTAATGCAATGCACATGTGTCACTCCTTGACTCACAGTAGGGCCCATGTTAGGCACTGAGGCTTTGTAGCACGGCACCTCGAGGGTAGCCTCGAGGGCCCACCGACTTGGCATTTCCTCAGAGGGTTTTGACGGATCGGAAACAGAGGCTCCATAAGCTCCATAAGCTCAGCCATCTCAGCCCGCAGCTGCACTTGCATGCCAAATGGATGCAGAGTGGTCCAACCCTCGCTTCAGAGAAAAGAACTTTCCACCTATCATGCCTCATCGAACGAGGGGTGTATTGTGTATTCACGCATCCCTTTCCAGCATCGGCAAACTGTAGACATGTAAGCCTCACCCGCACTTTGTTTGGGCTACCCTCATCCGCGTCCGCGCCTAGCAGGTATGAGGCACCGAGGCTCCTTTGTTTCTCTTCGCTGCTGGAGGCACAGGCCTCAAAACCTGGGCTGCGGCGTGCTGTGGGGGTTCATGGGGTCAGGAATGCAATTTGGTGTGAAGCATCCCATGGAGATCTCAGCCGCGGGCCCGTGCCGCGAGAAGACATACAGGCAGTTCTCAATGGCGAACCAGCGAGTACGCGACCCAAAGCACTCTCGTTGGAGCTCCAGTCCACTACCTAGGCCGCAAAACACTGCAACCCTGAAGTTACTCAGTTACGTGCAGTGACTCTCGAGGCGGGGTCGTAACCGCGATAAGGACCCATTTTTTTTTAACCACAACAAGGAATCACTTAACCATGATAAGGATTTGTGCCTCAGTGCATGATAGCCACAATCCCCCCCCCCGACCACATGGGAGTGACAAAAAGCCCTCAGAATTGAGATTTTAAGCCTCCCAAAGCTCCAAAACCAGGTTCTTTCTGTCACTGCGGGTGCCCCCCCTCCCCCCCCCATGAATATTCTGTCACTGCGCCCAGACCCACATAAGAGTGGCAAAAAGCCCTCAGAATTGAGATTTTAAGCCTCCCAAACCTCCAAAACCAGGTTTTTTCTGAGTGACAAAAAAACCTGAGAATTGAGGTTTTTTTTGGCCTCCCAAAACTCCAAAACCAGGTTCTTTCTGTCACTGCGGGTGCCCCCCCCCCCCCCCCCCCCCCCCCCCCCGAGACCCACATGGGAGTGACAAAGCCCTCAGAATTGAGATTTTAAGCCTCCAAAGCTCTCCCCCGTGCCCCCCCCCCCCCCCCAGACCCACACGGGAGTGACAAAAAAACCTGAGAATTGAGGTTTTGGGCCTATCAAAGCTCCCAAAACCAGGTTCTTTTGTCACTGTGGGTCCGCCCCCCACCCCCCCCAGAGACGCACTGGCCCCCCCCCCCCCCCCGACCCACTGAATCTGTCACTGCGGGCGCCCCCCCCCCTCCCCGACCACATGGCAGTGACAAAAAGCCCTCAATAGTTTCCCAAAACTCCAAAACCAGGTTCTTTCTGTCACTGCGGGTCCCCCCCTTTCTGTCACTGCGGATGCCCCCCCCCTTTAAAAACGCCTGAAAATTGAGGTTTTGGGCCTCCCAAAGCTCCAATTCTGTCACTGCGGGCGCCCCCCCCCCCCCCCATGAAAATTCTGTCACTGCGCCCAGACCCACATAAGAGACAAAAAATTCTCAGAATTGAGATTTTAAGCAAAACCAGGTTCTTTCTGAGTGACAAAAAAAAACCTGAGAATTGAGGTTTTGGGCCTCCCAAAACTCCAAAACCAGGTTCTTTCTGTCACTGCGGGTGCCCCCCCCCCCGCCCCCGAGACCCACATGGGAGTGACAAAGCCCTCAGAATTGAGATTTTAAGCCTCCCAAAGCTCCTTCTGTCACTGCGGGTGCCAACCCCCCCCCCGTGGCTGAGCAAAATAGGGTCTATTTAGAAGCATTGTCAAGCAGGTTTAGTTCGTGATTAAGCAGCTACATCTTTAATAACATCCCACAATCTGAGACTCCACAACCTGCATCTGAAACTCGAAACCCTCATCCCCAAAGCCTAGCCTTTCCGTCACATGCACTGTATAATCGGACTCGATGACCTGCGTCTTAAACTCTAAGTCTGATTTTAAACCTTAACCGTGCATTCACACACACGCTTCGGCCGTGCCCAGCTGCCACCCCCAGCCGAAGCGGACGGCGGAATATAAATATTTTAAAGAGGGCCTCTTGGCTTTCCCCTTATCTCTTTCTCTGCTTAGACAAGAACATAGGAGAGAAGAGGAGTTTACACCTTCTTCTCGCTCCTCACTCCTCTCTCCTCCCCACCCCCCTCTCGCGCTCTCTCTTTTTTCTTTCAGCGGGCTTGAGGGCAAGGGTTTTCCCCGCCCACACCCCACGCTGCACTCTCTCTCTTTCTCCCTCTCGCTTTTTTTGTTTTCCTTTTCTTTTCTGAGTGGTATCTCTCGTAGAACTGGAAGGGGTGGAAGCTGATGCGCGTCTTTTTTTGTGCGGGCAGGTGCCTCCAGGGGAGGACGCTGCCTTCCGCCTTCCCATACCGCTTTAAAAGAAAATGAGGAGATAGAGAGAAAGAGAGACAGGGTCACGGGGGAAAGAAGAGGGAGGGGCAAGAACAAGGTAGGAAGAACATGTAAATTCCTCTTCTCTCTTCTCTTTTCCTCTTTCTTTTCCACAAGAAAGAAAACTGATATGGACTTGAGAAGGGGGGAAGCGAAGAGACCCTCTCTCTCCCACGGTCTATGCTTCTCTCTATGCCTCGCCCTGTCTCACTCCCTCTCTGCTTCAGGAAATCTCTTTCTTTGTAGCTCACCCTCCTCCTCGTCTTCCAATTCCACAAGACATGCCGCCCATACAAGAAAAAGATAAACAGAGAGAGAACGAGCGAGCAAACCGGAAGAAGAAAGGAACAAGGTAGGAAGACATGTAAACTCCTTTGTTCTCTTATCTTCTTATCTTTCTCTTTAACAAAGAAAAACTGATTGGGAGCATAAGCTTTTCCAAAATTTTTGGAGGGCTGTGCTTGCGATTTGTCTTTTGGGAGCACATTCTTGCCAAAACCTTGGGGGGACGGTGCTTGCGATTTGTGTTTTGGGAGCATCCTTTTTCTCCAAGATCTCAGGGGGACGGTGCTTGCGATTTGTCTTTTGGGAGCACAGAAAATCTTAGGTCTTCGGCCTGCTTTCCTTCAAGGCTTCCAAAAATGGAGGTCTCCGGCGTGGGGGTCCTTTACTTTGAAGGTGGGTCTTGTTACAGAAAAAGAAGAAAAGAGCACCCTCATTTTGGGTACATGCAACATCATTCCCTTCTGCTATTTCCTCTTGCGCAAAGAACGACAGGAAGGCAGCAGTGGAAAAAGGGAGCTCCTTTCCTTCAAGATTCCAAAATCGGAGTCTCTGGTGTGGGTGTCCTTTTCAAGGCGGGTTTCGCTACAGAAAAAGGAAGAAAAGGACACCCGAAACACTCAAAAAATCTTGGACGCGCTTCTTTACACATTAAGTTAAATATTTTATACTGAAATGAAGGGAACAGAAACTGAAACGAACGAAGGTGAGAGTGGACAAAGAAGCACCTTTTCTTTCCAGGTTTCCAGAAATAGAGGTCTCCGGTGTGGGTGTGCTTTTAAGGTGGGTTTTGCTACAGAAAAAAGAAGACAAGAGCACCCTCATTTTGGGTACATGTAACATCATTTCCTTCTGGTATTTCCTCTTGCGCAAAGAAATAAAACGAAAGGAAGGCAGCAGTGGAAAAAGCGAGCGCCTTTCCTTCAAGTTTTCCACAATTGGAGTCTCTGGTGCGGGTGTCCTTTTAAGGTGGGGTTAGCTACAGAAAAAGGAAGCAAAGGACACCCGAAACGCTCTAAAAATCTTGGACGCGCTTCTTTACTCATTAAATTAAATATGTTATACTGAAGTTAAGGGAACAGAAAATGAAACGAACGAAAGGTAAGAGTGGACAAAGAAGCACCTTTTCTTTCCAGGTTTCCAGAAATAGAGGTCTCCGGTGTGGGTGTATTCTTATTGTTTCTCTAAGAAAAAAGTAAAAAAAAAAAAAAAAGGACACCCCGAAACACTCTAAAAATCTTGGACGCCCTTCTTTACACATTTAATTAAATATTTTATACTTAAATTAAAAGGGGACAGAAAATGAAACGAACGAAGGGTGAGAGCGGACAAAGAAGCACCTTTTCTTTTCAAGGTTTCGTGGGGTCATTTTTTGCTCCAAAAAGTCAAATCGCAAGCCCTGGTCCCTAAGATTGTGGGTTCAAGTTTTGCTCCAAAGAGCCAAATCGCAAGCCCTGGCCCCTAAGATTTTGGGTTCAAGTTTTGCTCCAAAGAGCCAAATCGCAAGCCCTGGCCCCTAAGATTTTGGGTTCAAGTTTACCTCCAAAGAGCCAAATCGCAAGCGCTGGTTCCTTTGATTTTGGGTTCAAGTTTTGCTCCAAAGAGCCAAATCGCAAGCCCTGGCCCCTAAGATTTTGGGTTCAAGTTTGCCTCCAAAGAGCCAAATCGCAAGCCCTGGTCCCTAAGATTTGGGTTCACGTTTTCCTCCAAAGAGCCAAATCGCAAGCCCTGGTCCCTAAGATGTTGGGTTCAAGTTTGCCTCCAAAGGGCCAAATCGCAAGCCCTGGTCCCTAAGATTTGGGTTCAAGTTTGCTTCCAAAGAGCCAAATCGCAAGCGCTGGCCCCTAAGATTTATCGGTTCAAGTCTTGCTCCGAGTATCATCTACGATTTGTGTTTGGGGAGCATCTTGTTCTCCAAAATCTTAGGTCTTCGGTCTGCTTTCCTTCAAGGTTTCCAAAACATGGAGGTCTCCGGTGCGGGGATCCTTTAAAGGTGGGTCTTGTTGCAGAAAAAGAAGAAAAGAGTACCCTAATTTTGGATACATGTAACATCATTTCCCTCTGCTATTTCCTCTTGCGCAAAAAACGACAGGAAGGCAGCAGTGGAAAAAGGGAGCTCTTTTCCTTCAAGTTCTAAAATCGGAGTCTCTGGGTTTCGCGAAAAGGACACCCGAAACACTCTAAAAATCTTGGACGCCCTTCTTTACACATTAAATATTGTATACTTAAAGGGGACAGAAAATGAAACGAACGAAAGGTGGGAGTAGACAACGCAGCACCTTTTCTTTCAAGGTTTCCAGAAATAGAGGTCTCCGGTGCGGGTGTGCCTTTAAGGTGGTTTAGACACCCCTGCTGACATTCCGAAACACTCTAAAAAAATTTGGACACCCATCTTTACAGAATAAATTAGATATTTATACTTAAATTCAAGGGGACAGAAAATGAAACGAACGAAGGGTGAGAGCGGACAAAGAAGCACGTTTTCTTCTCAAGGTTTCGGGGGTCATATTTTTTTGCTCCAGAAGTCAAATCGCAAGCCCTGGCCCGTAAGATTGTGGGTTCAAGTTTTGCTCCAAAGAGCCAAATCGCAAGCCCTGGCCCCCAAGATTCTGGGTTCAAGTTTACCTCCAAAGAGCCAAATCGCAAGCCCTGGTCTCTAAGATTTTGGGTTCAAGTTTTCCTCCAAAGAGCCAGATCGCAAGCCCTGGTCCCTGAGATTTGGGGTTCAAGTTTTCCTCCAAAGAGCCAAATCGCAAGCACTGGTCCCTAAGATTGCGGGTTCAAGTTTTCCTCCAGAGTCCAATCGTAAGCCCTGCTCCCTACGACTTTGGCTTCAAGTTTTGC